AGAAAAATTAATAAAGAGATTATTATTAAAGTTTATAAATACTTTTACGAAATTATTATAAATTGCTTAATTTACAAAGTTAAAAATTTAAAGGGCTCTAATTATGGTAACTATAATAAAATTATTTATTATAATTGGGACGTCCGATAATAATCGTTAAATTAATTATAACGGCAGTAATCTTTTATAGTTACTATCTTTAAAGTAAGAGGGGAGAGAGGATTAAATACTTCATTAATTAACTCCTAGCTCGGCCTAATAATAGGGTCGAATCTTATACTTATTCCGTTAATAAGAGCCCAAGTCATCAATCGCTTAATTAATTAATTTCTCCTTTGAACGGGTATAGTATAATAATAGAATATAATAAATTATTATAGGGCAAGGTACTATTAGGTATAGGGTAAGATATATATTGTCGGAGGAGAGGAAAGGAAGGTGTATGTAGAAAACTAGCTATATAGGCGAGAGCCTTAGTAAGTTAGTCCGTGTACGCGTATACATATAACTGTACGTGATTGCTATATGTAGCTAGTGCGTATATAGTTCTGGGCTATGGTATTAGCTTTGGGTATGGTATATGAGGTAGTTAGTGTAGTGTAAGAATGTTATAGGCTAGCTCTGTGACATTATATTTATAAACTATATTAATAAAGTTGGTAAATTATGAAATAGGGGAAATTACTTTATTAACTCCGAATCTCTTCCCGTTTATAATAAGGATCTCCTAATCGGATAGCTACTTTTCAAAATCCTTAGGTTACTTCTTTATAATTTCTTTAATAAAAACTTAATAGTCTCAACGAACTTTAACAATTTAATTGATAAATCAATAATTAATTTAACTCTTAATCTTTTTAAACTAATTGTAAGTAAATTTATCCCATTTAAATAAAATATTAGTATAGTAGGCAGCGATATAAGTACTTATCTAATTACAAATTTAAATATTAGCGTTGTCGAAGTCTTTTTAATACTTATAGCGAATATTATATATATTATTAATTTAATTATATACTATTTTCCTAACAACTATTAAATCGGTAGAAGGGTTAATAACTATATCCTCCCTAATATCCTATTCGGTATAATATTTATTATCTTCTTTTTTTTCTTCTTCTTTTCCCAAATTTCCTTCCTTATCGTCTTCGTTATCGCCGGCGGTAATTTCTTTTTAGAATTAAGTAGCAACAATAATCTCGGTAATAATACCGTTCGTATTAATAGCCGTAGTAGTAGTAGTTATTATAATTATAATTATAGCCTTCTTAACCCGGATTCCTCTATTAAATTTAACGAATTCCTTCTTTACAGCTAAAATGTAGTCCTTTACTTACTTAATAAAGAAGCAATCTTCCAGCTTCGAGGGTAGAACCCTCTAAATTATAAATCCTCTTTTGAATAGCTAATTACTAAAGTTTTAATTGCTATTAGCGAGTCTCTTAAAAACTTTATATTAATTAGGCTAATTAGTAGGGGTATTAAGGATGACTGTAATAGCTTTATTGGTAAATTCCTTTAATAAGGATATAATTAACATTATTAGTTTCATAAAGATATTATTTATAATTGATAATTGTAGTATTAAATATAAATATGTAAATTAGACTATTAATCATCAAATATAATAGTATAGAATTAATTAATTGAAGAGTATATGTAACTAACTCGCCTAGAAGGTATAGGGGGTGCTAGGGTAACCCAAATATACTCAGAAATCAGGCAATATCAGGTGGCTGGAGCGCTAACCTCCATATGGTATGGCTAAAACCACCCTTGAATCTGACACTACCTTCCAAAAGAATCATCAATACCTGCGGCCTTGAAGATGACTCGGATGAGGCTCACTCAGAAATCCGCGAACCAACTCAAAAGGGACCGTTTGATGCTGGTGACTTCTGTTCCCCGGATTTCAATGTCGAGCTAATGCTCAGTATCCATCACGAGGGCCGTTAGCGGACTGCTCATCCCTGTCTTGGAGACAAAGTGGACAAAACATCACGAACCGTTTCAGTCCGTTCAAACGATGTATCCAAGCACGTGCCAGAAGAAGAGCACAAATGGTTCGTGCTCCTCGGCACTCGCCGCAGTAGCGCTCGGCGTTAGAAACTTTTCTGTGGATCTTTGGAAGCAACTGCGCTAGTCTAGGCTGAGCTAGGCCCTACGGCGGGAAAGGGAAGGTGGCGCATATCATCGGTATTGAGCATCACGAGCCAGGTGAGCCAAGCGGTGGGAGGGACACAATTTGTGAAATGGCGGAAGTTGATTCACCAATTCCGTCACGCCGTCACCTGAGAGCTCGACCGCTTTCTTTGCCGTCGGGTTCCTGATCTCCTGATTCCCGTCACAACCCTCCCTGCGTTATCGCCTCCCGCGTCCGTCCCATCATCCCCGACCTGATTGCGGTCTCTGGCTGTCTACAGGGCGTGTATGCGACAATCACTTACACGATATACAAGCAAGATAAATAGATTGTATCACCATTTCTTGTCAAACCGCCACTCCTCCGTATCGTGAAATCCTTTTCCAGATCCTCCCTGCCAGAAGAACCCCGCCCCCACGCGTTTCCCGTCGTTGTCCTGGTCAAGCGAGTGGATGTCCAAGCCTACCAACAAGGACAAAGCCCCCACAATAATCCTCGTTCGATAAAAGACAGAAATTTCCCTGCTCTCCCTCGACAACCGTCCAGCAATTCTCCTGCCCTCATCCCCGACCGTTCGTCAGTCGAAGAATCAATCAAATCGCAAACATGTGCGGCGGTACTACCAAGGACGCCGTTGAGCGCAACGCCGGCCTTACTATGTCGGCCACCGAGCTGATCGGCAACACCCCCCTTGTTCGTCTCAACAAGATCCCCCAGTCGCTGGGCATCGAGTGCGAGGTCTACGCCAAGGTCGAGCTCTTCAACGCCGGCGGCAGTGTCAAGGACAGGATAGCCCTTCGCATGATCGAGGAGGCCGAGAAGGAGGGTCGCATCAAGCCTGGCGACACCCTTATCGAGCCCACCAGTGGTAACACGTACGTTTTTGTGTCTCTCTTTGTTGCGCTTGCGACTCGAGCTAACAAGCTTCCGACAGTGGTATTGGTCTCGCCCTCGTTGGCGCGATCAAGGGCTACAAGACGATCATCACCCTCCCCGAGAAGATGTCCGCCGAGAAGGTCTCCGTCCTCCGTGCCCTCGGTGCCACCATCATCCGTACCCCTACCCAGGCCGCCTGGGACAGCCCCGAGTCCCATATCGGTGTCGCCCGCCGTCTCCTCAAGGAGATCCCCAACTCCCACATTCTCGACCAATACACCAACCCCAACAACCCGCTTGCCCACGAGTTCGGCACCGCCGAGGAGATCTGGAAGCAGACCAACGGCAAGATCACCGCCGTCGTTGCTGGCGCTGGTACTGGTGGTACTATCACTGGTATTGCTCGCGGCCTCCGCAAGCACAACAAGGACGTGAAGGTCATTGCCGCCGATCCCGTCGGTTCCATCCTCGCTCTTCCCGAGAGCCTGAACGACCCCAACGCCACCGCTCCCTACAAGGTCGAGGGTATTGGCTACGACTTCATCCCCGACGTCATCGACCGCGAGTTTATCGACAAGTGGTACAAGACTGAGGATCGCGAGTCCTTCCACCTCGCTCGCCGCCTTATCGCCGAGGAGGGTCTCCTGGTTGGTGGTTCCTCCGGCAGCGCCATGGCCGCCATGATCCGCGCCGTCAAGGACTTCAACCTCGGCAAGGGCGACGTCGTCGTCGTTGTCCTCCCCGACAGCATCCGCTCCTATCTCTCCAAGTTCGCCGACGACGACTGGCTCGCCGCCAACGGCCTCCTCGCCACCGACGACGATGTCAAGACCGCCAACGGCACCAACGGCACCACCACCGTTAAGGAGCAGCAGGAGACCGAGCAGAAGAAGACCGATGACGCTTACGCCGGCGCCACCGTCCGCGCCCTCCGTCTCAAGCCCGTCACCTCCGTCCTCGCTGACTCGCCCTGCTCCGAGGCCATTGAGACCATGCGCGACAAGGGCTTCGACCAGCTCCCCGTTCTCGCTCCCACTGGCGGCAAGCTCGTCGGTCTCGTCACCCTCGGCAACATGCTCAGCTTCATCCAGCGTGGCCGCGCCACCCCCGCCAGCCCCGTTTCCGAGGTCATGTTCAACTTCAGCCGCACCGACGAGGTCATCACCGACCCCCGCAAGTTCGGCAACAACCTCAAGGACAAGAAGCGCAAGTTTGTCCAGATCACCATGGACACTCCCCTCGCTGCTCTCAGCAAGTTCCTCGAGTGGAACTCTGCTGCGATTGTCACCGAGAAGAAGGATGATGGTTCCAAGCCTGTGGCTGTTGTCACCAAGGTCGATCTGTTGACCTACATGATGCGTCAGCAGTCACTGTAAACCACCATCCCTCAAATACATTTAATGGATGACTGGGAGGATAGAGTGGAGGATATCAATACCAACAACAACAACAAGCCGCCTCCGTGAGCGTGGGATGGATTAAACGGGGATCTCTTTCTTTGACGGATGATACCTAGACTCAACATCTATGGGCGGCTCTTTCTTTTTCCTTTTTCCTTGCTGCTAAGCTAATATTTGGGAACTTACTCTGGGAGCCTTGGGCGTACTACTACTTTGCTTTCGCATAGATTTTCTGGGTAGCATTTGGTCCGGCGTAGAAAAGGGTTCAACCCGTGCAAATGGGACGTTTTATTTTTATTGTTATATTTATCGCTGATCTACAGCTTGGTGCCTCGTGATCTCTGTCTTTTGAGATGGTCTCTCGGCTCTTCCCTTGTTTTTTGTTCGGCTGACATGACTGGGTAGGAGATTGATTGCTGTTTATGAGCTCCAATCTGTTCCACTCTCCAATCCTGCTGGGCTGTTCGTGGCTTTCCTGGCGGTACCGTTTCCAACTGACCTCGTTAGCTGGGAGATCCTGTCCATGCGAAACATGCTCTTCTCTCCTTGCACTCGGCTCCGGCTTTGTAACACGTTGTTGCTCTTCATGATTCCATTCAAATGATATTAATCGGTTACTCGTATGCATACAGTTCGTGACCCCTTTCCGGTCCGCCACACCATCCTACCCATCCATATCATACCATACCCATCCTATTATCTATCTACATATTCCTTCGTCCATCCTGACCATCATACCCATCACGATATCCATCACCTACACCCTCTCAACAACCCATCTCCACCACCCCTCGCACCCCGGCCCCTCCCCTCCCACCACGCTGCCCCCCACCACCTCAACCTCAATATCAAACTCCACCATCTGCCTAAACTCAAACCTCTCACTCCCATACTCCCCCAACCAATCATCCCCCTCCTCCTTCTCCCCCGCCCCCAAATCATCCTCCCTCACCCCCGAATCCAAAAGTCCCTTGCTCCTACTAACTCTAATCCTCCCCAGTTCAGCCTCCAACTCCTTCTTCACCAAACTAGCCGGCAACGCCGTAAAAAGGTCAAGCTTATTCGCCGCAATCAACACCGGAATGGAGGGCGGGTGTTTAGACCCCTTAGTATAGCGCGAGTACCGGTGTTGGAGCGCCAGCAACAGGTCGTACAGATAAGTGGCGGCTTGCGACAGGGAGGAGTCGGGCGAGGAAGGGGAGAGGGTCGAGGCGTCGAGGAGGAAGAGGACCCCCTTGATTTGGCTGGTCTTGGAGGGGGGCAGGGGGCGGCCGGTTTTGGGGTCGAGGGGGAGGAGGTGGGAGAGCGCGGTCGAGCGGAGTTTGGGATGGCCGGGGGTGTCGATCAACAGAAATTTCTTGACTTTGTCTTCCTCTGAGGAGGCGGCGTTGAGTTGGACGGAGACGGGCGTTTGGGAGGTGTGTGTTGCCGCGGGCTCGGTCGATTTCTTCTCATCGGTCTCGGTTGATGTAGAGGTCTTGCGGCCGGCGCGCTTCTCGAAGAGAGTGAGGAGAGCGGTCTTGCCGGCGCCGGAGGGACCGGCGAGTAGGATCGAGGGAAGAGAGGAGTTCTTGGAGGAAGAGCCGGACTCGTCGCCGTGGAGGAATTGGTGGAGGAGGATGGGGAAGAGCAAGACGATCAGGAGACCGGTGATGATGACGGTCTTGTTGGGTTGGAGGGAGGCGATGAGGAGGTCTTTGATCAGTTCTTTGATGTGCTCCGTGGAGGACGTGTTGGATGCTGCTGTCGCTGTCGTTGCAGCCGCCACGGCGGTCGTGGTTACGAGCTCTATTGTTGTGTCCATTGTTGCGGTTGTGCTCGAGCTTGCGCGCTGATTCGGACGTGTTGCGCGGAGTCAGATCGGTTGCTCGCTTGCTTGCTATCTTCGGTCGGAATATATCGAGGGGATCGTGGATGTTATAGGAGCATCCCCTTTTCGTTTTGTTGAGACGCGTTGTTGAGATGCGCGTTGCAGGGGATCAAGCTCTCGGGGTGTTTTGGTGCCGAAAATGACACCATCGTCATTCGAGAGAAACGGCCAAGTTCCCGGTAGACAGTTCTCCACATAATTTTGGGGCCCTGGCGCTCCACCAAAGTGGGCTGGCCCGTTCGCAGTGGGGGCCAAGGGTGGTTGGGGACGAATCAGTGGGCGTGGCAGTGTGCACAGCTGTCACCGAACACACAACGCCCGCCGAAGAAGAAGGCTCGGAGAACAACTGGAAAGAAGATCCAATCGTTGAACCCCTTTCTGTTGCATGCCTCATCGACATCGACATCGTGGTGGCAGTGTGAGACAGACAGCCAAGAACCGATAAACCCGAGTTGTGCCCGGAACCCGGACTGTCTCTCCGCCCGCCGGCACCTCAGTTCCCCCGGTGGAAGACACGGAAGACCCTTGCAACACACAATCGTGGGCGCGAGTTGGGGAAGCTGCATGTTAGTAGGGACATCACCCAGCCACCGAACACGCAGCGAAATCGGATGTCGACACTAACAGGCAAGGGGTGCTGACGAAAGTCCAACATCAGTTCCAACTCCAACACCAAAGTTCTTCCCATTGTCATCTTCCGGCTGCCGTCTTTCGTCTTCCAACTTGGCGACTCGGACACGGCGGCATCATCAGCCAACTCACGACCGGCACATTCCTTTACTGATTGCTCTTCGTTACTCTGTATTTCGACTTCAGCCTTGAGCTTGTCCCTAGACTATTATTATCGCAAGCTTGCGCATTGACCCAATATTTTATTCCCGTCTATTCTCGGTCGCAATCCGTTGCTCCTCGTCTCAAGCTGCTGCGCCCCGGTGCTCCCCCTCCATGCCGATTAGCCTTCGAATGATAAACGCGACAACTCTATAGATTCCGACGACGTCCACGATCCTAATCCTCGACCTCCGAATACCCTAAACTTCCCCCGCCGACGACCTCGCTCTACCGATTACATCCCGCCACCACGGTCCCACGATGGCGCAACACGACGGGGCCGATGCCCATGCCGGCCATGCCGCCCCCGCACAACCGCCCATGAAATCCGGCACTGCTACGCCCAAGCTGAACAGCGAGGTTGAGCTCGGTAGCCTGCCCAGCGAAGCACAGAAGGATATTATGCAGATGGCAAGAGTAGGCGATATTGCCGGCATGGAGAAGCTTTTCGAGGCCGGCGAGTACGATGCGACATACTCGGACGACGAGGGCATCACGCCCCTACATGTAGGTCCAATACTCTCTCACACTCCTAGTCCGACACCCTGCTGACCCATCTCTCCTCGCAGTGGGCCGCCATCAACAACCAGTATGCCATGTGCAAGTTCCTCATCGACAAGGGCGCCGAGATAAACAAGAAGGGAGGAGAGAGCGTCGCAACACCCCTACAGTGGGCCGCCCAACGATGCCACTACTATACCGTCCACCTGCTCCTCCAGCACGGCGCCGATCCCTTGATCACCGATTCTCAGGGGTACAACACACTACACATCAGCACCTTCAACGGCAATGTCCTGCTGATCGTGCTCCTCCTACACCAAGGCATCCCCGTCGACGTCGAAGATGCCTACGGCCACACAGCCCTGATGTGGTCAGCATACAAGGGCTTCCCCGCCTGCGTCGACGTCTTCCTCCGCTGGGGAGCGAGTGTCCACGCCAAGGACGAGCAAGGCTTCACGGCACTTCACTGGGCATTGGTAAAGGGCAGCCCGGGCTGCATCCAAAAGCTGATCGAGTACGGCGCCGACCGATTCGCAAAGACGGCCACCGGCAAGACCCCTTCGATTACAGCTCAGGAGCTCAACACGGCTGCCGCGTGGCAGAAGGCGCTTAACGAGTGCGGTTACGACGAGGATGGCAACGCCATCGTCCCCAGCTGGCCTGGCGCGTCGTATCTCCTTCAGGATAGGAGATCGTTCATGACCAAGTTCACGTTTCTATGGCCGTTCGTCATGGTGTGGGCGACCATGGTTGTCATGGCTGGCATGCCCGTGTTTGTTGGGATACCGTTGGGCATCTTGGCGGGCTATGCCGTGCAGTGGGTAGCACAGCAGGTCATCGCTTATGCCCCGCCAAACATGAGGCAACTGCAGAAGACGCCTTGGATGGCTGGTATCTTTGCTGGCTCGTTGTTTTTGTGCACCTCGAACTGGTTCCTGCGCATCTTTGGCAGCACAATGTTTGGAGAGGATGGAGCAGTCCTCTCCAACTTGCTGTTTGCCTTTTTCATCTCCATGACTATCTGGTTCTACATCAGGTGTATGGTTGATGACCCTGGGTTCGTGCCCAAGATGGGGGGTGTCGCTGAGCAAAAGGCCGTCATTGATGAGCTTATCAGCGTGTGGAAGTTTGACGAGTCAAACTTTTGCGTTACCTGCATGATCCGCACGCCTTTGAGGAGCAAGCATTGCCGTAGGTGTCAACGCTGCGTGGCGAAGCATGATCAGTGAGTACATCGGCATGACAATGACCAAGGAGGGGAAGCTAACTGGCAATAGTCACTGCCCTTGGGTGTACAACTGCATTGGCGTCAACAACCACCGTCACTTCTTCCTTTACCTTATCAATCTCACTCTGGGCATCATCACCTATGACTGGTTGACCTACAGATGTGAGTTTGTACCATCACTCACTTACAGACAAGCTGCTAACACAGACAGACCTCTCCGCCCTCTCTGAGACCGCCTCCGATGAATGCAACATCCTCGCCCCGTCGCTCTGCCGCATCGTCAATGCCGACGCCTACAGCCTTCTAACCGCCATATGGGCCACCCTTCAACTCACCTGGGTCTCCATGCTCCTCTTCGTCCAGTTCGTCCAAGTCTCTAGCGCGATGACCACCTACGAAAACATGCACGGCATCGACAACTACTCCGCCACCTCCCTCAACAGCGCCTTCACCTCCACCGGCGCCCCCCTCAACCCGCCTTCTCTTCCCGCCCCCGGTCCATCTCCTGCTGCAGGCGGCGCTCGCCACGGTCACGCCCACGGCGCTCACGGCAAACACGGTCACAAGCAAGGGTTCATCAAGCAGTGGTCCCGTCTCCTCGGCGTCGACGCTTTCATGGAAACCGCCGCTGGTCGGGGCGCCGCAACTGGAAAGGGTGGCAAGAGAAACAAGCGCGGCAACCCCTATAGCAGAGGGTGCGTCACGAATTGTAAGGACTTTTGGTGCGATCCGAGCCCGATGTTTGGGAAGCATGAGAATGGTGCGGCGGTGCTGGGCGGTGTGCCGGTGAATTATACGGATATGTATGAGAGTCCGGGGGTGATGACTGCTAGTGGTGGAGGGAGGAGGAGGGGTGGGGGGTATGAGAGCGTTGCTGGTGAGGAGGTGTAGATGAGGAGTTGTGTACAATGATTGGGGAACGGGGGTTTGGTAGCTCGGGTGAGCGTCTGAGCTCCGGGGGTCTGGAGCTCTTGGGGTATTGGGTAATGACATAACCGACTCGTAGACTAATGATGATGAGTATCTCTAGTTAATGCGCGGCTTCAATATGGTCTCGTGATAACTGTACAAAGTCTCATGGCTACAGCAGCCAGGTCGGTATCGAGCTGTTTCCGCCTTTCATGACTTTAGACTTCGGAGCGAGGTAATCCGAATTTGGGTGGGACAGCCAAGGCTGATTTCTGTTGCGGAACCCGAAGTTTTCACCAATGAAAGCTCTTTGCCTCCGCCACAGCGCCAACATTCAGAATTTCCTTTTCGAGCACACCTTCCTTCAACTTGCCCCATCAAGCCCCACCATGCTCAGGGGTAAGTAAACAAATCCATTCCACTGTTCTACAGACATCTGAATGCTCACACACAACTGAACTGACTTCAGAACTTCACACAAAAAATTCCCTGTACGAGTTTGGGATTGAATACTTTGTAAAGAAGTAAATGTACCTGGTAAAAATATAAATCCTGCAAGGAATAGCCAGGTAGAGATTGCTGCCATAATATTCCATTGCATTGGAATATTGTTTGATTCGATTACTATAAGGTTGTATGACGTATAGGTATACTTCATTTTTGTAACAGCGGTAGCAGACTATCTAGATGCAATCCGTAACAATTTTGAATCATATTGAGAGTACTGAGATGTTAAATATCTTGAGATAACTATATCCTCCTTTCTGATTTTAACAAAACTGTTACCAATTATCCAGTTCCTAAACACCACAAATAAATTTCAGTAAATACAAAATTAATATTATAATTAGTCTAAGCTCTACTCTAATCTTAGTTTTTTATCCTCGATCGTAATTGTTTCCGTCCTGTTCTTCCAACAATTTGGATTATTGGAAAAGGTACAAATGTTTCCATTCCAAATAATCTCAAAGCCAGATCTGGATATTGAATTCCTTAGTAGTATAAGAGCCACGAAGGGCCGAATTTGAATTTGCACTCCAGGGGGCACCAATAGAAAATAGAAGGTCGTATGCGGACTAAAGGACGAGAAAGAATTGGCATGGTGATTTGGCAAGGCAATTCGTTATTTGAAGTTTTATAGAAAAGATGTAGAGATTTGTTCCAGTGATAGGATTGTTCATAATATTTATATTCTCTTCTGCAATCGCTTTCGGCGTTCATTACGCTACATCACTTTATATGTTATCAAAATTCCCCTTATTATTTAGCTTATCGGTAGGTCGTATTCTTAGCCAGCTTTAAAATCCTTGAAAATGCATTTAGTGTGTTTGTTGCCTATCCTTATGTTCGTCTTCAAGCGGTTGAAATTCCTCCACCAACGGATCGTAAACAAATCTTGAAGAGTTTTCTTCGTTCTGATTATCAAGGTTTGTTTGGCACTCTTGAGCTGATAAAGCGAGCTCTTCAATGTACGTATAATGTGGTGGTGGACATTCTGTTGATATTGGCCCATTATATGGTATCTATTTCAATTAGCTGATATTCTAAACTGGATTTTAAGATTCTTACCAAATGTTGCAATGCTAGGATTTGTGCTCTTGCCTCTGCGACTTCGGTAGCGAGCATACGTAATTGAGTTTGTAATAATTGACAGTACGCTTCGACCGCGACCCTCCTTTCGATTTCTGCAACGAGTAATTGTTCGGGAAGAGGTGCTTGGGACGTCATGTTGAAAAGACAAATAATTACTACGATTTACATGCCTTATTGTCTTTCTTCATCTATCCTACTGATATTTATAGGCCACCTGTTTTCTTAAACGCTTGATTGTATCCATTGATTTATTTGTTATTGGACTAAGCACGAATAGTGCTAAGCGCCAGCGTCTAAATTCTATTTTCACATGGACCAATATTGAGTCAATGTTTCTAAGGCAAGTATTTGTTTTATTTTAAGCGCCCGAGATAGTACGTAGATACATTTAATTACACCCTACCGTAATAATATTAATATTGAAAGAATTTTCTTGTAGCTCAAGAACTAGAACTAGAAGTGATACACACTGTTGAATCATAGACTCTAAACATCCAATGCCTCTGTTCTAGATTCAAGAAAATTTTCACCTGTTGGTGATATCTAATACATATGACACCGTAAGATATACAGTATCGTTAAGTCATCCTTGTATAACTGGGCCATCACTTTGAGATGCTACGTTTCTTTCCAACCGTATACTATCCAATTATTCTACAACAGACCCACTTTCTCTGGGGTGCACCAAACTAAATTAGCGTTCCGTTCCCTCGGGACACTTGAACCAAGCGGCTAGTAATTCAGTGCAAACGCAGCACCAATTATCACTCCAGCCTGCGGAAGATTTTTTACCGCCCTTGCAGAAACTGGTTGTGATGAGACTGTTGGCATACTTGATCGTTCATTGGATAAAGACAAGGAGGTTTGCCACAGGTGTGATGCGAGCGCTGTACTCGAAATCTCTGTAGTGCTTAGTAAAGAGGGGTAACAATCGGATGTTGACATAAGAGCTGAGATTGTGTGAGTTCTAGATGGGATTAACGTAAACGAGCTATTCCAGAGGTGGGAGGCGGCTGTTGTAACCGGAAGTTTAGTATTGTTTAATGAGACGGAGTCATTCGGTGGAGAGGGAATTGTTGTAATAGTTGAGGTTATGCTTGTTTTACACAAAGTGGATACTGACGAAATAGTCGTCGGTTGGCTTGTTCCCAGTTTATCTATCGTAGATGTTAACGAGTTAGAAGGGGAATATTCAACACCCTATGGAACATCCGACACTTCAATAAACGGACTATTGGCTTCCGAAGCGAACGTCCAAGTTGGAGCTGGATTGGTTCTACTAGAAGGCGAACACAACCAAGCACATCCTGGGCATCTTTTCATTACGCGATTCTATAGATCAATTGCGTGCACGATGGTGTTTAGGGCACCTATCGTACAAGATTCGCAGTGCTGATTTGCGTGTTCGGGATCCGAGTTCCGCTATCTGTACTATGGGGGACTTGATTAACAACAAAAACTAGCAGAAACAAAAATAATACAGCTACGGTTGATACGGCTTATTTTGAACGCAATGTCCAGCCTTATGAGACTACCCTATATACTATCCTCGGGCTGAATGGGTGTCAGAAGCTTAATGAGGTCTTCGTTGGGTAGGTTTTGCAGTTCGCCAAGCTGTCTCCTTTGGAACAATCTTTCTTTGAACTCTCCTTCACCCTAAACAGAGAGTAGGAACTCATTGCCCACCTCACTCAACAACATTAGGCTTTCATACCGAGCAATGGTAGCACAGAAGGTCTCGAGGTCTTTGTTCGAAAACCTCGTCAAAGCTCTTAACGTGAACCCACTACCAAACCCAAGGGGTAAAAAGCAGAGAAGCCCATCGTATCCTTCTACCATCTTCGTGATCTTCCGAGCCTCAGATATTTCCCTCGCGAATGCCTTCCGCGCTTTAGGAGTGTCTTCGATGCCACGACCTGCTAACACAGCTGATATACAACTTCCGCTTTGATAATACCCAGCGATAAGTAGCGATGTCGAAATCATTGAAATTCCCAATAAGACCCAGCTTTGATGAATTGCTAGTTTAATGTAAAAATATTTCCTGGTTTAACGAATAAAACATGCATGCTAATAGATATTGATTATAATCATTATTTTAAGTATATATAGAAACGCGTTTTCCCACTAACGGCAAAGTGGATAAATCACTTTCTTTTCTCTATATACCGTATATTTTATTTTATATCCTCAAAAAAAAAAAAGAAAAAAAAAAAAGGAAAAAAATCAAAGAGTTTTCAATAGTAACTAAGGGTTCTTAGAATCAAGGGTTGTAGAAGATAAGTAAAATAGAAGCTGAAAATTAAATCCGCCGAATTGGCCAAGGTTTTTATAATAAACGTTTAGGTCTTCCAAAAATGAAATATTCTCTCCCTAATTTTTAGACAGTGTCCTAATTCGTAGACAATTTATCCTTGAGAACAGTATAGTTCCCATAGGCAATCACCACGCTGCTTCTGTCCTTCTTTCCAACCGCCGCTCCCGCTTCAGCAGTAGTGGTGTTGGTCGTATAACTTCCGTTGGCGATGACCACCCGGCTTGTTGATTCTCTTCTGTGTCCCAACTTGAGAGGTACCGCTAGCGCCCCTACCGATGTTGACTTCCCCTTTGCTATGTCAGTTGCCCCCCTACTAATATTTCCCGTACTATTGTTGTCCTTCGCTGCCTGGTCGCTCTTCTCCTTTCCCTTGCCAAGTGGCCCATCCTTACTCTTGTAAGCGTTTTGACTGTGGTTATGGGTAGCGTATCCTGAATTGAAGCCTTGGTGAGCGTTGTAGGGCTGTCCAATCGAAGCATAGGGGTTCCACGCCGGATCGACGCTATAGGGACTGGTCATCTGCGGGGCCTCAGGATATGGGGCCATAACATGGCCTCTATACGGCTGCGCGGTCCCGTAAACCGCCGGAGACCCGGAGATGGCCATGTTCGCAAAGGCCGGTATCATACCACCGGCCGCACCACCTGGGCTAAAGCCATATCCATAAACTGGAGAGGGGTCTATCTCTAAGGACGCAGTAGGACGAACGGTCAGAGGTACGGCAATGGTGGGCTTGACTATAACCCTTCCGCCTTTGTTCCTCCCATCAGCAAAAAGGGCACGGCCATTAAGAGTACTACCGTTTAAGAAAGCTAACTATGTAATCAGTAAACACGGACCAAGGTAATTTAAGATGATGATATATCACTTACTTAACGCTTTATCAAAGTTGTCCCTCTCTCGGATTCGAACACAGCCACCGAGAGCACCATAGACCTCGGTTTTATCCGCTTCGACACCACATCCTCTCTTTACGTGGTCCTTTAACTGTTGCCACGTCGTTGTGTAGGGAAGCTGCATAAAGAGCCACTGTGACACATCCGCCGGCTCTCATGGTGCCTAAGAATCGGCGCCTTGAGCCGAAGCCGCGATATCAAGCTATGTTTGATGCCATAGCATCTCTAAGCTCGGTACGACGATTCACCATTTACCTGCCTGACGTTGAATATTCCCCTTCTAACTCGTTTCATACGTAGGCACAAGAGAAAAGTTGGGACGGGTTCCCGTTCCGGGCTGAGAAATGGCGTTTGCTCGTTCTTTTCTCGCATCTCTTTAATCAATCAATCCTTCGAGAGGTGCGGAAATGTAGCCGATAGTGATTGTGGGGAGCTGTGTTTCTAGATATGGCGGTTAGAACCCTAACCCTAGTGCTGGCTGAGCCAGAATTAGGGTTAAGGTTCCTCAACGTCTGAGAACCGTTCCGAATTGTACTAGCGTAAGAAGATTCCAAAGGAGAAAGACACTCAACATCTGCGGTACGACTGACTCGGGGAAGATTGTCATTGACAAAAGATTCTGAAAGGGAAGAGTCAACTTCCGTAATTTCTTCAACTTGGTACTTCTTCAAGGCGGGCTCCTCGCACGGCGAGGCCTCCTTTCTTCATTCCTCCAGTCTTGCAAATCCAAGATTCCCTGCCGCACGTCAAATCCCGCATCCACGACATAATATCGACCATCTGGGACCCGAAAAGATCGACCGAAAGCTTGAGCACAAAGGGAGGCATTGTTGCTAGAGCCCTCCACGCCTGCCAGAACATACGAGAAGGTTCTATCACTTGTGCCTGCTACGAATACATTCTGTGTGATATTGCCATTGCGGTCCCTCCAGTGTTACTATTAAAATATACGACGACCAGGGGGACTCCCAATACGATAGGAAGCAATAGGGAGTAAACAATAAAGATTGGGGAGTAAACCAAGATCTATTCTTGCAGGAGGAAGGATTGTGAAAGGCTGACTCGAGGTGGAGTTGTCCTCCAAGCCTGCCTCTTAGGATGCAAGCCTGAGTAGCTTAACAACCGCCTCATGCCTATTCTCTGCCGCCATATGTAGCGCTGTCCGTCTATCCTTATCCTTAGCACCTACGTCAACCTTGCCGGTATCGAGAAGCAGTTTAACAACCGCCTCATGCCCATACCTTGCCGCCATATATAGCGCTGTCCGTCCATCCCGGTTCTTAAGATCTGCGTCAACCTTGCCGGTATCGAGAAGCAGCTTAACAACCGCCTCATGCCCCTTCTCTGCCGCCGAATGCAGCGCTGTCCGTTCATACCGGTCCCGAGGATCTGCGTCAACCTTGCCGGTATCGAGAAGCAGCTTAACAACCGTCTCATGCCCATTCCCCGCCGCCATATATAGCGCTGTCCGTTCATGCCAACCCTTAGGATCTGCATCAACCTTGCCAGTATCGAGAAGTAGCTTAACAACCGCCTTATGCCCATTCTCTGCCGCTATATGCAGCACTTTTTGTAGATCCTTACCATACAAGTTGACCTCGACGGTGTCGAAAAGTAGCTGAACGATTACCTCATGCCCAGTTATCGCCGCTCGATGCAGCGCTGTCTGTCCATTTTCATCCTTAGCACTTGCGTCAACCTTACTAGTATTGAGAAGCATCTTAACGATCGCTTTATAGCCTTTTTGCGCCGCAAGCCACAGCGTCGTCCGTAGCTCCTCCCTATGCAAGTTGACCTTGCCGGTGTCGAGAAGCAATTTTACGACCGTCTTATGTCCGTTTTCTGCCGCCAAGCATAGAAGCGTCCATTGGCCCTTGTCCTCAACAAGTTGATTTACCATTGTTTCCTTTGCATCTTCCTTTTCTGAATCCTCGGGACCTAGGCAAGTCTTTTTTAGGTTACTCATGCTCCTCAATGCTCTCTCAAGAACCGCCGTTTCTTCCCGAAGATTCTTCACTGCAACTCCATACTGTTTCACTTTTTGTAATACCGATCTGACATTCCGTATCCTTGTCGCCGTATTTAGACAACCTTCCAACCCTGTCTTTGAATGCTCTGGTACTGGAATGCTTGCAAAGTAGTCATGGTTGTTTTTATCTTGCTGCCTGTCGGGATCTATATCCCAGTCCCAGATAAGTCGAAAATTGTGTGAAAAGACTGTTATCGACTGTAAAAGTTCTGACCACTTGATATCTCCGGTCGTAGCTTGTGAATCGCCCGCTGGGGAAACTGCAATCATTATAACTGCCCAGTGATCGTTGTATGGCCTGAGGATCGTAGGTCTCGACGCTCCTTGAAGAAGGCAGACGACATCTCCTTTTTGGACGGATTTTACCGTGGTCGGGAGGGTCCAGCAAGAACCCCCATGCTTCCTTCACGCAAATATAGCTGGGGGCATTCCTCCAAGTAATGGCCACATCTTGTCTGTCTTCCCAAGTAGCATTTCTCTTGACCGAGGACACTTCGCCAAGAATGCAGCCCTTGCCCTCAATGACGGCAATCTCCTTATCGTCCGAAAGGCCTACTACAGAGACCAATTCAGATAAGAAGAAGTGGATGAGTTTGTTGAAGAGTTGTTTCCACGAAATCTTGTAGTCGGCGAATAATCCTGCTGCGGGTGGATTATCGGAGCTCATACCGAGTAAGGCATATACTTTATCGCGACGATACTACAAGTGTGTTGGCTCTCCCAAACACCACCAAGGACGAGACCACTTATCCGATCGAGGAGAATCGAGGCCTCTACCATTGTACCAACCTTGGCCATGACTGGGCAGTCACGAGTTAATCCCGTGGCATCTGGACCGCACAGGCACCCGCAAACGGAGAGTCATGGGATGGAATAGTCTTGCTTCTTCGTAATAGAATACGTCATCTTGACATCAATAGAAGTTACTAGAATTTATAAGATCCCTATAAATTCGCCTATCCTCCCAGACCCTTCTGGTGGCACGCTAGAAAAATGAAATAGAGAGAAAGGAATTGAGAAAGACATGGAATACATTACATGTCTTGCGAGAAACCAATAAACCAAACCAGTCCCGATACGCTGCCGATGGATATCATCCGTCCCTGGAAGTCACAACAAGACGGTCGATAATTCGGTGGCAGCCAGAGTACGTTCTGGCCGTTGCAAGTAATCCAAGAACTATCCTGTTCCAAGCCATAGCCATGGCTCTCTGGATTATCTAGTACAACTTGGCTTTCGGTAGTTTCTGTAACTATTTTAATACGTCCAACGTTGGTACGTAGGTAGGGATTAGGATCGTCAAATGATATATGGGTCATCGTAGTATTAGTATTAAGGGTCTGGAGGCAGCTCCCCGACGCCGGATCCCAGATCTTGATCGTGTTATCCCCCGAACCGGACGCAAGCCGCTGGCCATCAGGCGAGAATGCCACTGAGAGAACGGCGTCGCTATGGCCTTCTAGGGTCTGGAGGCATCTCCCCGACGCCGCATCCCAGATCTTGATCGTGTCGTCCCTTGAACCGGACGCAAGCCGCTGGCCATCAGGCGAGAATGCCACTGAGTCAACGGAACGGCTATGGCCTTTTAGGGTCTGGAGGCAGCTCCCCGACGCCGGATCCCAGATCTTGATCGTGTTATCCCACGAACCGGACGCAAGCCGCTGGCCATCAGGCGAGAATACCACTGAGCGAACGTAGCCGCTATGGCCTTTTAGGGTCTGGAGGCAGCTCCCCGACGCCGCATCCCAGATCTTGATCGTGTTATCCCACGAACCGGACGCAAGCCGCTGGCCATCAGGCGAGAATGCCACTGAGTCAACGGAACGGCTATGGCCTTTTAGGGTCTGGAGGCAGCTCCCCGACGCCGGATCCCAGATCTTGATCGTGTTATCCCCCGAACCGGACGCAAGCCGCTGGCCATCAGGCGAGAATGCCACTGAGTCAACGGAACGGCTATGGCCTTCTAGGGTCTGGAGGCAGCTCCCCGACGCCGGATCCCAGATCTTGATCGTTTTGTCGTCCGAACCGGACGCAAGCCGCTGGCCATCAGGCGAGAATGCCACTGAGAAAACGGAACGGCTATGGCCTTCTAGGGTCTGGAGGCAGCTCCCCGACGCCGGATCCCAGATCTTGATCGTTTTGTCGTCCGAACCGGACGCAAGCCGCTGGCCATCAGGCGAGAATGCCACTGAGAAAACGAGGTCGCTATGGCCTTTTAGGGTCTGGAGGCAGCTCCCCGACGCCGGATCCCAGATCTTGATCGTTTTATCTGCCGAACCGGACGCAAGCCGCTGGCCATCAGGCGAGAATACCACTGAGCCAACGGAACGGCTATGGCCTTCTAGGGTCTGGAGGCAGCTCCCCGACGCCGGATCCCAGATCTTGATCGTGTTGTCGACCGAACCGGACGCAAGCCGCTGGCCATCAGGCGAGAATGCCACTGAGGGAACGGGGGCGCTATGGCCTTCTAGGGTCTGGAGGCATGCATTCCAATCCAATTCTACAGCCGGATTAGTTCGAATCCATTCAGGTTCTTCTGCCCTGAAATTTCTCTTTATCAAGCTACCGCTTGGAGCAAATACAAGCGCTGAGATGTATGCTTGAAGTGGAGCTTGCTCTATTATTGACTTATAAGATAGAGCAAACCGGTAAGCATCCCAAACAAGCTTTGATAACTGCGACTGATCATTACCTCCCTATATTTTTAGTTAGACCAAGTCCCTAGTGCAGAGTTAGACTTATACTTACTAGCAGGCCCTCGAGCTTTCTAATAGCAACAACGCCCGCAGGCATAACTTGGAGTAGACTTAGAGCTTCCAGCCAGTAAAGGTACTTCGTCTTGAGGAATGTATAAACAACCCCGTTATCCTGTAAACGATCATGCGAGATCCAAGCCCAGGAAGGCGTCTCGGGATTGCCGGTAAACCCATGGGGTGGGCCCCCGACCAGCGGCAACTTGACCCCTCTTCGCGAGAACATCCCGAAGTTGCCCACCGACGGCTTCCCGGACTTCACCCAGTTGCCCACTCCGGACAGCTTGCCCCAGACTCGGCGTGCTCGTGCCGGCACCGTGCCGTCTAGATTCCCTGCCGGTGCCGGGGTCAATGGCCGTTTTGTGTTCGTGCCAGAAACCGAGTCACACAAGTGATCAACCCAGTAGACGCACGAGTACCGCACCGTCGCTAGCGGGTCCGGATCTGGTACTTGGACCTTGTCGCTCGGAAATCCCGGTGCGCTTAAGCCGTACATGTCGCGTCGCAATACTGTAGACATGGCTTTAAGTGACCTGGAGAAGATGGTATAATTCACATCTTCTTTCCCAGAAGGAAAAATCCACTTGAATGTCTCCAGAGAAGCTTGGTTACCAGCTTTATCAGAAGCATTGCCCAATAGAAAGTCCTTGGCTGATTGATGAACAAAATAGATGGTTTGTTCTCGTAAAGTTAGAAATGAACCGCAAAGCCCTATAATATCTTTTAGAGATTCAAGATTGTTGCAAATGGTATTGGGCAACTCGGCGAGAGAGGCTAGTTCTTGAAGGCTGATGGGTCGGCGAACAATTGCGACAACAGCAAGAATGTGCTTGCAGTAATCGGATTCATCGAACTGGCTCATATCCTCTCTCATCCGCGCATATAGAGCATCCAGTCCAGATGGAAACATGCGTAGCTTTTCTACGGCAAACCCTTTCTGGACTTTTTCAAGCGCTTGGCAGACCAACGCCACCCAAAGGAAGGTATCTTGCGCGTTAGAGCACAGGTAGTCCTGAACGGTCTTTTTCGTAATTGGGTCGTACTCCTTCAGCTCTTTTAGGTAATCCACCTTCTGCAGAATAAACGCATTAACAGCCGCTGCGACGGATTCCGCATTTAGCTCCAGGGAGACCTTCACTTTATCTGAGGCTTTCTTCAACCGTTCCTCAATTTGCGGCCAATTACGGCTTGAGACTATCCACTTGACTCGAGATCCAGATGATGATTGCTGAGCAATGAAGTCGAGAAGCTGCGGCAGGTCTGTTTTAACGCACTCGTCAAGCGCGTCAATGACTAGATAGGTCGTTCGGAGTCTTAGGTCTCGTAGGATGTTGGTGAAGATTCTCGACAGGGCGTCCCACGTATTTGCATCTTTGAAGAGGTCTTCGCCTGCACGGTTGTACTCACTCCGCACGTGTGAGAGGATAGATGGCTGCTGGTCGATAAGTAGATAGATTAGGCCGCGAAGTACGGCGGTTGCATTGTTGATGCGAGAGTCGGTAGCTTGGCAGAAGAAGTAGGCCACATTGCACTGGCGCGCGTTGGCAGTATCGCCTTGATCCAGCTCATTGATGATGCCGCACAGCAACATAGTCTTCCCTTTGCCAGGGTCGCCCTTGATCCAGAGCAGTCGGTGCTGTGGGTCGTCACGCCATTGTTGAAAGTCAGCGTTATTGAGGACCCAACGATACGAGTCCTGCAAAAGGCCGCCTTTGGTCCGTTCGATGCGGACTTTATCATCGCGAGGATCGGTAAGGCGCAAGTGCTTCAGGCATTGCTGGTCCTTCTCTGACATTGCATAGCGTCCCGGTCAGCCATGATGAAGACGTGGTGAGGAATCAGTGTACTGACCTTCCTTCTCACGTTTGAGACGCTCAGGTTCTTGATCAGTTCCAGAGTAAAAAGCTGTTGGATGTTAGCACAGGCCCATACCATCACCACCCGTAATGGAAACCTACGTCCATAGTAGTTGTGGTTGTATTGATGCCCGGCGGTGTTGTTGTTATACTGAGGCCCAGGGCCGGTATTGGCGTTGGAGAAACCCGAACCAGAATTGTAGAAAGACATGTCGCAGGGATTGAGCTTCGGGAGGTGTATAATGCTTGCTTACAAGATCAAACGTCTGGAATTAAAGGAGTTGATCGTCTTGCAATGTTCAGGGAGAAAGCGAGGGGTTGACAGAACGGAACCAAAAGATGAATATTGTCCAACTGGTTGGCCAGCCAAAATTTCAAAGGTGTAGCGTCCCCAAACTTTTGGTTTGCAGCTCAGAAGACTCATCCCCAGCCAAAGGTGGTCTCAAAGCTGTGGGACGGCGGATGTGCTAGCGAAATGTGCACATTTGCGGCATCAGCTGTTGACGCCTGGCCTTCCAGATCAGCCTAGGTGTCAAGATGCCCAATGGACACTACCTGTTAATGCCCAAATTCCCAGTCTGGCGTGGGTCGGCCACCAACCGCATGTGCCATTGGTAATGTGAAGATATCCTTTCCGGGAAAGCTGAATGCGACGCCTGCCCCCACAACTGCAAGTAAGACGCCACTCTCCTAGACTGGGATCACCGTCACTTCGGGAGAGGTCCTAAGCAAATTCGGCCAATCAGAAGCTTCAAAAGAACGACTCCGCACCGAAGATAAAACACTTAGGCTTGAAGGGTCACCTGGCCAAGAGGGGATTGTCTGGTCTGGATGCCCTCCATATTTCCCATCATGGTGGGTGGAGGTATGTGAGGCCACCAACCCGACAACGCCGAGCCACAATGCTCACTCTTGGAGAAAAGGGTGCCAGAGCTGGGCCTTAGCCTACCTCTGTCCACCTTGGATCTTGCCTCTACCACCCCGAGTAGACGTTAAAACCAAAAGCACCTTCTCTGGTCCTTGGTGTATCTTTGCAAGCTGAGACAGCGTTGTTCTTCGTTTTGGATAATCACGTTCGATGTCAACAATTGCCCACATGGATCCCTCACATGACACTTCTCGGTACACAGTCGGCTGGATCGCCCCCTTGCCCTTGGAACTCACCGCTGCGGTGGGAATGCTAGAGGACCCCACAACAATGGAAGTTCCCGACGACGACGTTCTCTACCACGTAGGACGTATAGGCTCGCACTTCGTCGTGATGGTTGTGTGCCCGCGCATGGGTATCGAACCAGCCGCTACGGCCCTTGCCAACATGCGCCGCTCGTTTCCCAACATCAAACATGTTCTGGTGGTCGGCATCGCAGGCGGGATGCCCTGCTACGGTCCAGATCTGCAGGAGCAGATCGTCTTGGGCGATGTCGTTGTCGGCGTTCCCCAGCATGGAAGAGGAGGTGTGACGCATTATGAGTTCGGTGCGTGGGAGGGCCAGAAAGAATTGACTGTCAAAGAGCACACGCTTCACCCGTCCGCTGCTCTGCTCACTGCGGTGAATAATCTGCGAAGCGTGCATATGCAGGTGGCGGGAAGTAAGATCCCGCGGTACCTGGAGGAGTTGCGCAGAGGCTTGAATGAGCGATCGAGGCAGGCTTATGAGGATCCTGGGGCCGAATACGATCATCTCTTTGAGGACAGCTATCTTCATACGGACAGGGGAAGATTCTGTCAAGGCCTTTGTGACGCGACGCGAGCAAAGCTGCGCAAGAGTCGGGGCAAAAGAGCCGAGCGGAAGAGTGACCAACCCCATATCCACCATGGCAACATCGGCTCGGCAAATGCAGTTGTCAGGTCGAGCGCTAAGAGGAACGAACTCCACGCGAGGCACAACATCATCTGTCTTGAGATGGAAGCTGCGGGCGTGATGAGCGACTACCAGGGTCTGGTGATCCGGGGAGTCTGCGACTATGCGGACTCGCACAAGAATAAGAAGTGGCAGGGCTATGCGGCAGCGACGGCGGCGGCATACGCAAAGGAGCTTCTGTTGCTGCTACCGGCAGGTGGAGGGTCGTCGACAGAGTCATCTCTTCCCGATGAGAGGAATGGGACTCGGGGAGATGGGTGGTATGTGGGACGGGATCAGTTTCACAACTCGGGAGGCGGGTTTATGAACTTCAATATGGGCGCAGGGTATCAAACGAATAACAACACCGCCGGCAACCAATATAATGCGCCGTTTTATGGGCATCCGTCTGCCATACCGCAGTGGCCCAAGTACTAGCAGGCGGTGTTCAAGTAGACAATGTCGTTCTCTCTCCTCCGTCGACTGGGACAACTTCTCCACCGCCGACGAGCTCCCTTGCTTTGGCGTCGCAGGCTTCGAGGCTGGCAGAAGTGTTGGTGAAGAAATCCCAGATTTCGGAGTCGACGGAATAGTTCCTTGCCGCGTCAGGACTCGGGCCAGTGATGGTGATCTCGGACGATTCCTCCATGGCGTGTTGGCTGGGTGAAATGACGAACAAGAAGATGACGAGGAAGAAGAAGAGAGGAAGAAGAAGAGAGGAAGAAGAAGAGAGGAAGAAGAAGGGGAGATGGAAGTTGGATAATGGTAGACGCGAGGTTGCAAGTTACGCTTCATACGGGCGGGATGGGAGGTGGGACGAGGAGGGTTCCGTCCGGTCCGGTTATGGTGCGCGTGGATGTGCCCGCGATGCCCGTGACTGTGGTGATGGTGAGGCCTGTGGCTCCCATGCCCGTGGTCTCTGTGACAATCTGGGATTGCTGGGCTGGCGCTTCAGGTGTAACCGTGACAGTGGAAGGGGCAGTTGCAGGAATGGGAGATTTTTTGTCTGCACCCGTGTCCGCTAAGGAGAGCCTGGCGGAGTATTGAGCCAGAAAGTCCTTTTTGGATTGCGGATGAGACAGGTGAACGGGGTTAGTATGATCCATTGAGGCTGGTGCTGATCGCGTTGCAGGAGCTCATACGTGACGTCGCGGCCAGGGTGGCCCGCGCCGGGGGAGTTGTGCTGGCGACTGATCAGCTGGAGCTGGAGTTCCTTGTCGTGGGGGTCGATGATGACTTTGTCCCGCCACTTCGCGATGCCGTTGACAGCGTGACACTCGGAGAAAGCGCGGTGGAAGACTTTCTTTGATGGTCGGAGGCCATTGGCGTCTCGACTCGTCCATCAAACAAGAGACGAGCTCTTGCAAAAAGATGGATGTCTCGTAGCTCGCGCGGATCAGGTCGTCGGTTGACTCATTTTCGAGGTCGTCTATGCCCAGCAAGCAGAGGGAGAAGCTGGCGGCTGGGTCCTCGAGGCAACCCCCCTCGAACTATGAGGGGTCTAGCAGGGCCTTCTTCCTCGCGATGAGTGTCGTCTTCTGCGTCGTCGGGGCGATCATTTGGCTTGTGACTCAAGGCATCTGGGCGGAGATTCTTGGAGCCCGGCATATACTTGATCAGGAAGTTGAACCGGGACAGGAACTGGGACCACCGCATATGGCGCTGGATGAGCTGCTTGTTGGTTGTGAAGGTCTGCAAATTCTTGTGATCTGTGAGGATGTCGAAAGGTTGCTGGGCGCCCTCGAGCTCTGGCCTCCACTCTTCCAATGCCTTAATAATGGCGAGCAACTCCTTGTCATAGACGTCGTAGTTGCATTCTTGAGCCGTGTGCTTTGCTGAGAAGTAGGCGACCGGGTAGAGAACTCAGACCATTCCGGGGATCTCTGGATTTGGCTAAGCTTTTCTTCCACCTTGCACGAGATCATGAGGGCAAAGTTCATGTTGGGTGCCTTCTTGAACTTGCCACGGCGTTGGAAGCCGTTTTCGCCGTGTCTAGGGCGGACAACCCAACCGATGCTGTGGTCTGCATAGAACTCAATTCGTTCCTGGCGGTCTTCCTCGGAGATCAGTTGAAGACCATCGTCATTGATAAACATGTTTGCCGCACCACCCTGGAGCTCGTACGTGGAGATGGCGTGCTTGATCGACTTGACTATGGGAGCAATGACACCGGCGAGGCCTTCTTTGTAGACAGGACACTGCACCGTAACGTGAGGCAGGGCAGGGGTCTGCAGCCTCGGCGGCAGTTTGGCCGAGTAAAACTTTGAATTGACCGAGAGCTGTTGAACAGGTCCAAATATCTGAGCCAAGCAGCCGATAATGACCTGAGCAAAGAATAGGATGAAGAAGATTCGGACCGGTGCCAGGACGACGAGAGCAAGACGGACAAAGTCACCATCAACCATGACTTCAATAGCGAGCTGCCTCCAGGCGGACCTAAGGGATACTGTAACGATCAAGAGCGTGATACTGGCGAGATAGGTGTTGAGCAAGTGAACCGGTCGCTTTTCTCGTTTCGGCTCGCCGCTCTCCGCATCGACTTCAACGATTCGTTCCACCATGGGAGGAGCACTCTCCTCCTCGTCGTCAACCTCATTGCCGGCGAGAATAGGGGATAGCCAACTGATAATCCAGAGATGGAATACCACCTCCTACCAGCAACCATACACGTATATATACCCGTAACCATCCTCTATTATCCACCTTCAACTACTCAAGCTATCCGTTCTTTTTATTCCTTCTACGACCAATTCTTTATTCTTCAACATGTCTATCACTTGCCAAGTCCGAGACTCTACCAACAGACCGTAGGGTTAGGGTTAGGGTTATCGAAGAGGATCTCTGGCGCGCGGAAACGCTCCACTCCTAGCTGTTACACGGGAGAACTTGTCAGTAATGCCTACGAGAGGGAGATGAGAGGGAATATTGGGCATACCTTCAACTTCTTCCCATCCGGCATGGTATACTCCGCGATTTTACCCGGATCCATCTTAGCAGCCGCCCATTCTTTCTCCCTCCTTCTTTGGGTCATAGGCCACATATGTGACAGACTCCTTGATCAACCTAACCACTTCCTTCTCCGCAGAAGTATGGAACACATACCCGCTCTTCCGTAGCAAGTTCTGCATGTGCTCTGTTATGTCTCGTCCGGCAACATCAATTCGCCGTATGCTGTTAGGTACGGTGAAGCCTTGGTATATTGGGACGGCATGGGAGATACCATCACCGTTGTCGAGGACCACGCCTGTTGTTCGGCCGCTGGCGTAGAGGGAGAGGACTGCTTAGATGGAGGTATAGAGGGCGGGGACGTTGAAGGTCTCAAAAAGGATTTGAGCGGCGGTGTCGCGGTTGCTTCGGGGGTTGAGGGGAGGTTCGGTCAGGAGGACGGGATGCTGCAGTTCTTGTTAGCTGTGCCAGTTGTCGCCGTATGCTGGTACAAACTCACCTCTTCACTCAACGTCTTCAGTCCATCGTCGTACACATACGCCCAGATCTTCTCCATATCGTCCCAATCTGTTACAATGCCATGTTCCAGTGGGTATCGGATCTTCAGCAACCCTCGCAGTTCCGTTGCTGCCCTCTGCCCTATGAATACGTCTCCTTCTAGAGCGCCCGCAAGCACTCTGGTGTGTTTCGGCCTTCCGACAAATGAGGGGAAGTAGCATTTTGGTAGATCATCTCCTGCAAAACCTGCTCTTATGGTGCCTGAGCCGTTGTCGAGCACTATTGGCGCATTGTGTAAGAAGTCTGTCATCTTGACCTAGCTCTAGATTCGGACATGAAAAAGGGTTAAGGCTTAGGTGGCCACTGGCCGTCTGCGCTGTTGACGGGAAACTCGAGATCCTAATGATCCGTTGTCGGACGTGCCTATCCAGCAATAGAATGCGTTTTGCTGGAGATTCTGCTGCTCGTCCAGTTATATCCGCCAAGGAATTGATTGTTAGCTATCGCGAATTCGTGAGAGAGCTATGTCCAGGTTGTTGTCTTCTCTTGCTAGCTCGGCGGCCTGAGAGGTAGCTGCTCGCTTGCCGGTTTGCCTTGGGCTAACAGACAAATGAGACGTCTCCCGTGTAGCAGACTAACCAGGCGGCGCGGCGAGTTCCCTAGGCGTTGTTGACAGTGCACAATCCCGCCAACAGATGCCAATTAGTCTTGAGTTCGCGACGCGACCCCTAATGCACATGGTCCAAGCTTCCTGAATGCAGGAACGCCCCGATGACCCGGCCCGTGTTGATCCACTTCTCCGGACCTGGCCCGGATGCTCACCGAGTACATCTTAATTTTGGCACCCATACCATTCTCAATTTCGCCGGTAAATCAAGGTTAAGCATCACTCGAACACACGAAGAAGGTTTGAATGCATTACTGTCTATCTGATGTCTCTTGCCATGACTAGAAGCGCAACCAAGAATGAAACGATATGAAACTAACAGACTGACTCCCATAATCCGCTCCAGCTCATCTTTCTCGGATGTGGAAAACCGCAGGGCCGCGAATAACCGGGAGGCAGTTACGAATCCACGCCTCTCCAGCAGCGGTAAACCCCATCTAACAGGTAGCAGCGTTATACAACCCCAAGGTAGCAGCGGTCACTCCAAAGGCCGGATTTACCCATCGAACTAAGCCCAGCGAGCTCTGGAGAACCGCAATCAACCCATTATCACTCTTGCAACTGCAGTCAATCCTAAACTCCACCCTCGTCTGAATCTGCAGACTCTTGGGATCACTCTGTTTCGCCATCTGGATTTCAAACTTCCCACCATGCGGATACACCAATCCCTCCTGGTGAACATGGTAGTAACTCCCGCCTCCGAATTCCGAACCAGGAATGTAACAGTTTGTGTCATCAGTGGTCCGCAACTTCTCGATCTCCGCACCCACGGCATCGACAAAGATCTGGGCTATCTTCTCGGGCGTGGTGGAGTCATAGCCGGGAAGGCTGCTGGATGACGGAAAAAGGAGAGAGGGAAACACCATTTTGCAGTTCCCACCAATGCCGATCCCGTTGTTGGCATCCCAGCTGTGGCTCGCCATATCCTTCAGCTGGGCAAAGACATCCTTTGCGTTGTAAGGTGCCGAGGTGGGATTGTTACAGCTGGCTTTGACTCGACCAACTTGTGCGACCTTGTTATCGAAGGTCACGCTTGTAGCACGGATATATCGATCCGCTCGGGTACAAGTGAAAGCCGCCCAACAGGTGCAATTATCATATGTTCCCCAGGTCCCTTTCACGCCTTGATAGCACTTGAACTCTGCCCCGCCAAAATCAGCTGTTCCGGAGACGGGCATGTCAGGGGCGCTGCCATCAGAGAGTCCCCAGACTTTGAACGTCCGGCCGTCGGCCGGGAACGTGCCCCGTATGGGGTCAGACTCCTTTGCGGCTGTCCACGCGACGTGGTATTGGAAGCCGTCGTGATTGAATGGATCGTAAATGTTGGTGACGGTGTCGGTGCTGCCCCTTCCCTTGCGGCGATCGTAGTCATCTTTGAAGTAGTGGAGGCGGTCCTTGGTTCCCAAGTCGTCGTTGGGCGGGCCGTCGCATTCGGCTAACACAACTACTTCGTCGGGATAGTCGGTGCGGGTAACGAGGGGGCTGGCGAGGAGGGATGGAAGGATGGAGAGGATGAAGAGGATGGAGAAGAAGGAGGAGATGGCCATTTTTGTGTCTGGGGTGGAGTAGTCTGTTCTTGTAAGGAAGTCTGCACTCTGCAGAGGTGCCGATGATGGGAGGTTGAATTTTACGACCATGGCGTCTTCAAGCGTTATATACCTCTACTCAATGGTAGCCTGTTGTTCAAGCTTTTCTCCCCTCAACTACCGACCCTGAAACCGATGAGCCCAACGATCGTTCCGAATTCAAGGTGAGGTTGTGCCGTTTCCGAGTACCCGTCGTTTCCCAGGCTGCTTGTTGCGTGGCCGCCGAGGTGGTATTTCGCGGAGCATCTCAGTCGACAGCGATGTCACTCAAGACCGAGATCCAGCACACAAACCGTCAATACTCACCGCTCTCAACAATTCTGTTTCGCCCGTTGATGTGGCCCTCATCATGGGATGATATAAACACCGAGTATTCTTGTAACCCCTGAGACATGGACCGCCTGTGCGCCTTCAATGTTTTGCACACCCAAAGATGACACAACACTGCCCTGTATCACCATCATACCGGGACCAGCATAAGATATCACAAACTGGGCCCAACAAACGTACTAACCCGAAGCATGGAAAGACAAAATGAATAAAGAAAGGACATCGCGTACCATTCCAGGTCGTTTATCGCACTTTCCAAATCTCGCCTGAAGCAACAACAGTGTCTCGTGGACAACGCGGTGTTGTCAAATAGAGGATGGACAACCGACATCATGGAAAAAGAACAAACACCCAGGCCACTGGTCACACAAGCAACGCCCCCCAAACCGTGGTGCTTCCTTGGCCTCTTTGTTGTTTCACTGCAAGGCACCCAAGTGGATGAAAACCCAGGCACCTTTTACCTCCTACTGCACATCATCTTCCTCTCGGGACGGTCCGCTTCGTTTGCGTAACGACGGGTAGACGAATTAAAAACTCAAAGAGGACGACGTCATCAGACTCATGGATCTTAACTACAAGTCATGTAGGTAGGTACCCACTCGTGTACAACAGACACTTCAACCTCCCCTCTCCCCCCTTTAAAAAACAGTAGGATTCCCCGCCTTCAAATACCCCTTCAACGGCGTCGTCCCATTCCAAGCCAACTTAACCGCCTGCGCAAACGCCTTCGCCACAAGATCCGCTCCCTCCGGGCTAGTATGCGTATGATCGCTCGGATACAAGCTGTTCGTCTTCGTGCTCCCCAGCTTCAAATACATATTCGCCACAGCCTGATAATGATCCACAAAGCTGGCCTTCCCCGTCCCGGCCAAATTCTTCGCCGCCAGGCTTGCATACCCCACGAACCTCACCGGCGCTCCATACCCGCCATAACTGCCTCCTTCCCACAGGTTGTTAGGTGTCTGGCTGGAGAAAATGACAGAGGCACCCTTGGCGATGATGGATTTCGCGGCGGTTTCGACGTAGTGATTGAATGTGTAAACTTTTTCGCCCGTTTTGCCTGAGACACAAACTTCGGAGCCGGTGCCGGGACAGTCGGAGCGGCCGTTGTCGGAGGCGGAGTTGGGAGAGCCGCCGTCGTTGTGGCCGAACTCGATGACGACGATGTCGCCGGCGGTGACCACTTTGGCGAGCTCGGTGAAGCGGCCTTCGTTGGTGTAGGAGCGGGCGGAGCGGCCGGGTACGGCTTTGTTGACTACCGGGATGGTGAGGAGTTGGGGGAGGTATTCACCCCATCCTGTCAGAGGAGGGGAGGTTTGTTAGGATATATTGGGTATTTGGACAGAGGGAACAGGGAAAGGGATTGACTAGTTACTAACGTACCCATGAGAAGCCCCCCAGTCTTGGCTGTGGTGCTGTCACCGGCAAGGTAGACGGTAGGCGTTGCTCGCTTTTCGATGGGATTCACGCTCCGCGCATCAACACTCACAGCAGCGAGGCCGGCGATCAATGTCGTGGAAGAAAACCGCATGGTGGAGGAGGGAGGGTTGAGCACAAGACGTTGGTCACGGTATGCTTGTCAAGCAAAGGAAAGCATCTGGATGGCTGGAGGGTAATCACATTGTTCTTTATACAATTTGAAGGTGAGTTTTCGGCTCCGTGGTTCCGGCGCCAATTCGAGGATGGTACCATACCCCAGGAAAATGCGACTCTTGAACAAACATGTGAATCGACGGCGTCCTACCAAGAAATCCTCCCAATGTCGTTTCTGGTCGGTTGAGAAGAATATGTACCACGCGCTCGAATAAGGAATCGTCTCCCCCAGAATGTGGGGAATCGGTTAAAAAGGGAGGATGAAACAAGCACTGGTTCCCCACTGGTGGCATTATGCGATCGATCCGTTCGGAAGAATTATCGAACGGGACAGTAGCACCAGGGGGAAAGTCGATGTTACGCAAATGCGGAAACACCACGCGAAGTTCGTCATTGTTTCAGTCCACGGACGAAGATGGCCCGAAACATAGAGGTACCCTGCAATTGTGGGTTGATGACGGGCGAAGAAAAAGAATCCTGACGGAACCCGAAACTGAACTCTATTATTTGTCGCTCGCTGTATAGAGACATGTGAAAATGACAACATACGGCATCTTCACCCATCCAAAGACTGCCCCAAACACATCTCATAGTACATCCCCCTCCTCTCCAACAACTCCTCATGCGTCCCCGCCTCCGCAATCCTTCCATACGAAAACACAAAGATCCTATCCGCCCCCTTTATAGTCGAAAGCCGATGAGCCACAGCAACCGTCGTCCGTTTTCTCCCCTGTCTCTCATCTCCATCTCCATCCCCTGTGCCTTCGCCCTTAGCAGCAGCATCAAGCGCCGCCTGCACCACCCTCTCCGACTCCGTATCCAACGCACTCGTCGCTTCATCAAGCAACAACAGCCTCGGTTTCCTAACCAGCGCCCGCGCAATAGCAATCCTCTGCCTCTGCCCGCCGGAGAACTGCAGACCTTGGGATCCACAGGGGGTAGAGAGCCCCTCGGGTAACGAGGCGATGAACGAGTCGATGTTAGCCTGGCGACAGGCCTCGAGGATTTCCTCGTCTGATACGGTTGTGGGTTCGCCATTGTCAATTACGCCCATCGCGATATTCTCTCTTATCGATCCCTGGTAGAGCACCGGCTCTTGCTGGACCAGCGCAATGTTGGCGCGGTAGCGGCCCAGGTGGACGTGCTTGTAGTCGACGCCGTCGAAGAGGATGGTGCCGCTGGTGGGATCGTAGAAGCGCTCGAGGAGAGAGATCATGGTGGTTTTGCCGCAGCCGGAGGCGCCGACGAAGGCTACGAATTGGCCTGGTGGGATCTGCATGTGTTGACAATTAACGTTAATATACGGAATTCGGCGGAAGAATTGGGTGGGCTGTACGTACGTTGACTGAGACTCCTTTGAGGACTCGGGCATTAGGACGGAGAGGGTAGGAAAATTCGAGAGCTTGGCAGTCTATCGTGACGGCGCCATTGCTGCGTTTTGAGGCATCTGGTGGGTGGTCGTCCTTGTTTTCGGGAAGAACTGAGTCCCTGAGCCGGAAGATGAAGTTTGCGGCGTGTTGTGCTTTGGTGATGCCTATGCCAAAATCAGAAGGATGCAGAGAGGAAAATTAATCTTTGAGACTCACTTGTGGTATAAGTAAAGAATGTTGCCGCTGCTTCGCCGGAGAAGATGATGGCGATGAATACGGTGTAGAACTGTGTGACAGTGTACTCTCCAAATGATACCAACCGGCCGCCGTACCTGACCATGACATTAGTTGACTTGAGCGAATTCAGGCAAAAATAAAAGAAGGAAGGATTTACCAGAAGCCCAATGCCATTGCCAGAAACGAGATCGACTGGCTCAGAGCGTACCAAACCATCGTCCAGGTGAGACTCTTGACAGACGTCGCCGCGATACAGCGCAAACTGCTCTCGTACCTATCGAGAATCTGCCGTTCCATAGCCAGTGACGAGATGGTACGAATAGCCATGATGGCCTCCGACGCGATGCCAGTGCTGTCTGCAAACCTATCCGAAGTATCATCATCCAGCTTGATCTCCAAGCGAATTCTCAGGTACCCAGAGGAGACAAGAGGCGGCAGAGCCCCAAAGACAAGGACGAGCCCAAGTTTCCACCCAATAACGATGGCAAGGATGCAGCTCGACAGCAAATTGACAACCACGACTGCGATGACGCCCATGTTCATGGACAGAAGCTCGTGCAGACTCTCCGGTTCCTTGGATAGATGGGAAACCAAAGCGCCTGGAGAGTTTCCAGGCTTGTCGAAGAAGGTCATGTCCTGCCGGACGACGCAGTCGAAGATTGTGTATCGGTAGAAGCGGACCATTTTCTGGAGAAAATTGTCAGTCTTGGTCATACATGGCGATAGAATAGCGGGGACAAACTTGAGCGATAACGTTGCAGAACCAACCAAGCACTGCATAGGCAACAAGGTTGCCAAGGGCTACGACAAAGAACATGAGCGAAAAGAAGTTGCCTCGTTCGACCATTTTGTCACCCTCAAGGGCGAAGGCATCCATCATCCGGGAGAAGATGATGGCGAGAGCGGGATACGTAGCCCCTAGGTTTTGGTGTTAGTCCGTGAATCTGACAAGAAGGTGGCTTCGTGGATCTTACCTCCCGCGAGACAGCCGATACCCAGCCAAAAAAAGGCAGGCCAAAGTACTCTTTGCTCTCGCATGATGATAAACAGACATCTTAAAAGGTTGATATTGTCTTTCTTCGCCGCAGCTTCGTCCAAAGCATTCACATCAGGAACAGCTTCAACCACGTTCGACGTTGTGTTAGCTATTACTGCTCCTCCAACCTCAGGCTTGATGTCCTTTTGAGGTTCGTCGTCATCGTCAGGTTCTTGTCCCAGGTCTTGCACTCGAACGAGATGGGAGTAGGTGCCCCCCAGGGCAACAAGTTGATCATGAGTGCCCTGTTCGATAAGACGGCCATTGGACATGACGACAATGTTGTCGGCATTTCGGATGGTGGAGAGTCTATGGGCGATAACGATCATGGTTCTCCCGACTGCGACATTGTTGAGTGCCTTCTGGACGATTTGCTCAGCGTTTGGATCAAGGGCACTTGTAGCTTCATCAAGCAAGAGAATTCGTGGGTTCGCAATGACGCTTCTGGCGATGGCGAGCCTCTGCTTTTGGCCTCCTGACAACATGGAGCCTCTCTGGCCAATTTGTGTTTGGTAGCCCTGACAAAGTTAGATAGGATCGGCGAGCAAAGGTGATGCGGCATACCTCTGGTAGTTTCTCGATGAATTCATGAGCATACGCCGCACGGCATGCATCTTCAACGAGCCGCTGCTTCTCTTCATCACTCAGATCTGCCATAGGGGTTCCGGCCAGCCCATTCACGACATTCTGAAAGACGGTGCCTTCAAGCAAAACTGGTTCCTGTGAATGATGTTAGCTAGGAGAAGAGTTACAACGGTCAACCCTGCTTACCTGCTGGACAAGTCGGACGTTGGTTCGAAGCCATTGAAGATTGTACTCTTCTATGTTCCGACCATCCACTGTGACAGTGCCGCTCAAGGGAGCGAACCAACGCTCAACCAGACCAACGATGGTGCTCTTACCGGATCCGCTTGGCCCAACAATGGCCGTCGTCTTGTTTGCCGGAATCGCAAGGCTGAAGTTCCGCAACACTTGAATATTTGGTCTTGAAGGGTAAGCGAAAACGGCATCCTGAAGTTCGATGTCGCCTCGACATTTGGCTGGCTTGATGCCTTCTTCCGACAAAGAGTCGATCTTTGACTCACGGTCGATGACCTGGAACAACTGGTGTGCGGCAGCGGCAGCCTTCGAAATAACGACCGACTGTGGAGCAATTTGGGTGAGCGCCTGAGCTGCCAGCAACACAGCAAAGATGACAGTGACAATCTGGCCCGGCTCTGACACCTCACCCTCTTTATACATCCTGATACCCTGCCAGAAAGCAAGGCCATATCCGGCGTAAACGCAGAAGAATTCCACGGAGAACAAGACGGCGTAGTTCGGACTCTTTCTGGCACCGACCGCTTTGGCCTCATCAAGAATAGCTGCATACTTCCCCGACAGCTTGGGGAAGGCCCAAAAGGCATGAGCAGTCTTGACACTCGCGAATACTTCCTCGGCAAGCTTTGATGCTCGAGAGTTGATGGTCATGATCTCGTTTTCCTGCTTTGCGTCGATGCCCATGCAGATACCGGTGACGATGACAATGACGGGAACGATACAGATGGTGATGAGGGTCAACTTCCATTGTACCGCAAAGGCGACAACAAAAGCGGCGAAGAAAGTTGCAATAGCTTGAATAGCGAGGCCCAGCTTCTCCGAGATGCCCTGGTTGACGAGGTTGGCGTTGGTGGTAACATGACTTGAGATGGACCCGGCCTCGGGCAGGTCGAAGAAGGCGATTTCCTGGCGTATGGCTTGCTTGAGGAAATCGATTCGTAGAGACCGTGTGATCCTGATGGCGTTGGTTGATGCGAGGGTCTTGGATTGTATGTGAGTGACTGATCACGATAAAATCCGAGACGGGAAGAAGACTTACGGTCCAGATGTATACGAGGACAAGTTTGGCGATGAAGAGATACACAAAGTACAGTCTGAAAATCCAAAGCTTGTGTCAGCATCTGTTGAACATGACATAGAGAGTCAATCATCAGCGGGTCAAAAGCTTACGTGTAGTCGTTGAGGCTGGAACGAAACTCTGCCGGGGTAGCTTTGCCGGTTATGAAATTATTGAAGACAGTGACAAATTTGCCAAAGACAAGGTCCATCAATGGAAGGAGAACACCAGACGCTATCATGCAAGTCAGGGCTGCTGCATGTGTCCACCAACCGATACGATCTGTGTATCTGAAGATTCTCTGGAAGGTTGAAAGGTGTTAGTTGGTGGTCAGCAGCCACTAGACATGTCTTGAATTGTTTGGACGCATCACTCACAAAGTAACTCTTGAGGCTCCCATCTTCGCATTTGTTCGATACACAATCGGTCCCGTCTTCATTTTGAGCCGCGCCAGATTCGGGAATTGGTACGACAGCATCGCCTTGCTTTCTGCCGTCGTCGCGGATTGAGGTACTGGAAGGTGAACCTTCGACCACGGCCATCTTGTTGGTCTGCGATGACGTATGGCTCTCTGTCTTCAAACTCACACCCGTCTGTTCGCTATGTCACACCTGAACACGACTGTGCCTGGTAGATATATACTCGGTCGGGAATCATCCACTGATTGATGGCAAATCTGCTGTCAACTTGTCGTCCCTTGGCACATATTCGGTGGTGGATTTTTGCAGCAAAGTGGTGTTGATCGCCAAGACACAATGAATCACAATAATTTACAGGGGAGAACCAAAGGAGAAGGACGCTGGAAAGGCCAAGGCGCAGGGTAGCTTCGGCCAATTGTATGTCAATCCAGAACCGGAAGCAGGGCACCTTGCAAACCCCGTTGTAACATGGTGAATACGGCTGTGATGGCCCATCAAATGCGACATCCGCGTATAATCCATATCCAGTCACCCAGATTAGAAACCAAGACGGAGTGACACGTTGAAAACGACTGTAAAGTACGGCGCCGCGACGGGCGAGTGGATGTTGTTTGAGGTTCGAGTTGCAGTTGGCATCGGGTCTCGAAACGACGGAAGTGTAGGAGGAGAAAAGTGGGGCAATACCCGCGGACGGAGACGGAATCCGCGGGCCGCGATGCCGACTCAATGCCATCCGACGTCGAAAGTTGAGACGACGGCAGCACTCAATAGTCGCGCAGCGGGCATTCTCACAGCCTCCCGTCAGCAGTCCTGTCATTTCAGCACATTACGAGGCTCCACATAGCAGTATACCCTCAGAGCCACAGCAGTCTAGTAGGGCATCTGTCTGCAATCGCTTCGGGTGTCTTGTCATTGCTGATATTGTCATTTTTCAACATTTGCATCAGGTCTCTTGTTGTCAACGTATCCGACCCTTCAGGGCCATAGCTTTGATATCTTCGGTCTGCATTAATGTGAACATCGATCCTTTGGCGACGCAAGCCCAGGCTACCTAAACTCCAATTTGCACTACCGATACGTAACAGACAACTACCACAACCGTCCCGGTCCTTTGGATCAGCACAAGTGGAAGGAAACCATACAACACATCCCACATGGACACGGAAAGAGAGGCCAGTGGCGAGAGGGATGCGGCCGAGGGAAACGCAGGTGGACTCAGCCCAGGGGCAGGTCTAAAGAGAGCAGTAAGTCCCGTTCTTTCTATTTCCATCTTCTGGGCTCCGCAAAGTCCCGTCCCCCGTCCGTCACGGGCGCCGAAAACCTAAAGTCTGAATAGCGGGGCCCGCTCCGGTCCGGGTCCGGCCTCGCGGATCCCGATGGGGTGCCCGCGGTGCCCGATCCGCACCCGCACCGCACCCGCATACGCTTTGGGCTCTCCAACTCGGGGCACCTTACTTCCGCATACCTTATCCCCTTTTTCATGTCATTCCTTTTGGAATTTCATACCCAGCAATACCACATTTGAATGCATGAGTGCAACTGCGTCTCACTGACACACCCCGATTCTACAGTGCGATCAATGCCGGCTCCGTAAGGTAGGTAGGTCCAAGGCCATAGTACTCTCATCAATGATTTCAAGTCCTGGGATAGCTAACCAAGCCCCCTCTCTTCCCTTGACTACATAGATCCGTTGTGATAAAGAGTCACCGTGCTCAAATTGTAGGACAGCAAACCGGTCATGCAGTTCATCCGGAGTAGGCCAAAAGCCCAAAGAACAACGACAGCGAGTTCTCATATCCGCGCAATATGAGCGCAAGATCGACCACTTCGGCACCCGGCTCACCGGCATCGAGAAGATGCTGCGTGAGCTAATAGTCATCTCACAATCCCGAAGCCCATCATCCGAGTCCTCTCTCGCCGGCGCCGGCGCCAACAACAACAGCAATGCTTCTCCCGCCAGCGAACCCCCGGTGGCCATCATCAGCGACATAGTCGGCGATCCCGACCGGGGTGAGATGCCCCTTGACGACGATGACGGCAACGACGACGAGATGGACTCGGCCTTCGAGGGCAACTCCTCCATGGCCGCCCAGACCGTCTTCGCCAGCGAGTTCCTCGAAAACGCCGTGACGCAGACGTCGCTCAGCCCCAGCATGGAGTCGGCGCTGTCGTCCCTCCGGCAGATTGTGTGCATGCAGAACCGCAAGCGGACTAACCAGGACTCGAGGTTTCCTAACGCGAAGCCGATGCCGAGGGGCGGCATGCGTGAATTGCCTATGCCTCCAAGTCCGGTAGTCGTGGGCATTCTTCGGGATATTAAGAGTACGGAATGCCGTTTTGCTTGGTGGGCCCTGATGAGAATGTGAAGCTAACTCGACAAACTCTCTTTCCAGATGAGCTGCCAGAAACCTTCACATTGATGTGCACATTCATCGCGGTAGACGACTTTATCGACTGCTGTCGCAGGGTATACTTCGCTACCGAAGATTACAGCTTGGCAACCTTCATCGTCGTTAACGCCGGTCTGTTCTACCTCTTCCAGGAGAAGGCCACGAGGGCGGACGAATCTCATCAGGCCGAAAAGCTGCTCGAGTACCGTAACCTCTGCCGAGACAATCTCGAGACGGCGCTGATGGCATTACCTCTGTTCATGCCGGCAAGAAAGGAGAGTATCGAAGCATTGTTGTTAGCTGTAAGTCGCCCTACTTATCACTTGAAGACCATTCCCCTCGCCCGTGACATGACATAGGGTTGCTAACCCAGCCCTTCCGCATAGGCTTCCTACGCCGTCGAAGCCTCCCGCTTCACCCTCGCCTGGCAACTCAACTCATCAGCAGTCATGATCTGCCAAACCCTCGGCTACCACCGCCTTCCCGTCAACGCCACCTCGGGCGCCTCCGCCAACGACGACGTCTCCAACGACACCAAGTCCGCGCTCTTCTGGTTTGCCTACATGCTAGACAAGGGCCTCTCCCTCCGCTTCGGGCGCTCCTCCATGATCCAAGACTACGACATCGCCATCCCCAAACGCATGGGCCGGACCATCAACGTCGCCGACTTCTGGAAGGAGATGCTCAACCTATGGATCGAACACGCTGAGGTCATGGGGAAAGCCTACGAGCAACTGTACTCCATCGCGGCCCTGTCCCGACCGCCCGAGCAGCGCATCGAGAGCGCGCGCCAGCTGGTCGAGGCCATCAAGGGAATAGCGAGGGAAAACGACGAGCTGATCCGCCATGCGCGCGAGACGGGCAAGCTTGCTGATTCCGGAAAGAGGGACGGGTTCACGGTGACGCTGATGCTGCGGTCGGACGAGGCCACATACTGGGCATCGCTGTGTCTGATATACCGCGCGATTCCGGCCGCTCCCGGGTTCAGTAGCACCTTCAACCCGGAGTGTATCGAAGCGGCGCGAAGGGCTGTCGAGGTTCATTTGGAATGCATGCAGATTCCCGGGTTGAGCCATTTCACGAAAGTTGGGTATCTTCACTGGTAAGTGTTACACGCCCGGGTGATAATGATACTTGGGAGAGTCCCAATTCTAACAAGAACCACACACAGGACGATTCTTTACGCCCCGTTCATCCCCTTCATCGTCTTGTTCTGCCATGTCATCGAGACATCCAACATGCAGGACCTCGACCGCATGGATCACTTCGTCGCCTCTCTCTCCACCGTCTGCAGCATCTCCGAGGCTATCGACAAGTTCAATCGCGTCTGTCAGGTCCTCTGCCACGTCGCACGCCTCTACGTCGAGACCAAGGCACAGCAGCAGCAGGACCAGGACATGATGCTGGTTGGCCATGATTTCGATATGTATCTCAGTCAGCTCGGGTTTATGCCTCAGCAACTCCTCCATGATCAGCAGCAGGGGCAGCAACAGCATGCAAACTCCAATTCCAACCCCGCCCATCAGCAGCGACAACACCAACATGGCGGCATGGCGGCACCAGACGCTGCTGCCGCCGTCACACCTGGTGTCTTCAACGCAGATATGCCCGCTGGTCTTATAGATGCGACACAAACAGCGCAGCTCGGTAACTGGTTCTCCGGCCATAGACATATCATGAACTTGGTGGAGGAAGACTTGTCGGGATTCGAGCCGAGGATCTGGACGACTATGACCGGGGGTCCTTGAGGTAGAAAACTGGTCGGCGATAGATGTGTGGCGCTTTGTAATACAATTCGGCTTTCCATTTTCATCCATCCTTCTTGATCTTGGCGGACTCTCTGCTCTTGGTTTTCCGTGCTGGAGTTTGGCGGTATTTTCGGCAGAGTTGACTCGATGGGAGGATGGCGCGGCAATTCGATCCTTCTGTGATAGCGAATATGGCGTTCAATGCTGATAGACTTCCTTCCCATCACCTGCCGATGCTTTTAGCAGATCTCGTGTTTTAATGCTGTTCATCGTAGTCGCCATCCTTTCCCAACCAACTTCTGTAATTGATATTTTTCAACAAAATCCCCACTCAATCGGTCGGTTTCCTAGGATCGTAAACCTCATATCCCTCGTCTTCGGTGTCGCTCTCAACCAGTTCGCTTCTCGGTGCCCTCTTAATCCCCGTTTGGCCGTCCGGCGCTGTATCGCTCCTAGTTGCTAGAGCCGGTGCAGCAATCGCCGATGTAGCTGTTTTATTTTCTGCAACAGGAACAAAAGCGCTCTTAAACCCCGACTTCTTGAACCCGCCCTTCTTGAACCCACCGCCGCCGCCCCTAGCAGCACCAGCACCAGCACCCCCAGCCGCAGCTTCTCCAAGCTTGATGGAGATGACGCCCTCATTCTTTTGCTCCTGTCTCCTAGCACGTGCGGCAGCTTGGGGGTCCCGCACCATCTGCTTCATATCCTTGAGGCGCTGCTTGTGGCTGTGGTCGTAGGAGGAGAGATGGGCTTCATAGTCGTTCATGCGGCTGTATCCCTTTTGGCATAGTTGGCAGTAGAAAGATTGGAGGGCTTCGCGGGCGGAGGAGGTTTGAGCTGGTGGGAGGGTTTGGTGGCGCTGTTTGAGGGGATGGTTAACATATTGCCATCAGGGTTGCGTGGGGAGCAATGGCTGGATGGTGACTTACTGGAGGCATTTTGACGGTAATTTGGACAATACTAGCAAGTTAGACTGTTTTACTCTGATCTCGACATACGGCTCTCGGGATGTCAATTGCGGTGTTTTCGATTTCGTTGCGTGTTGGAGTTTGGTATGGTTCGAGGGAAGTGAACAGGCGTAAAGTCGCAACTCGAGATGAAGCGCGTCTGCGTGTGAGGTCACACCTAGACCAAGAACTGCCGGCGGCACGAATCACAGTTCGTTCAATGCAACTTTGACGGACAGCAGGGAAACGTGGGGAAGCTGCCCCCACAGGTTCCACCACAACGCCAATCCCCACCAGGCTTGGCTTAGCGGAACACCGTGCTTGCCCGGGCCCAGCGAGTGGCCCACTTGAGGACCCCAACGGCTGAGCCAGTGAGGACCCACCCTCGTCACTCAACAAATGCGCCAGTACGTACCTAAAGAACCCGAAACCTCCAACCCATCTGACTTTCCAAGCCCTGTTTGGTTCCTGACGACAAACCTGCCCGGGTCTCCTGAAGTCCCAATTCGTACCACAAACAACATCAGAAGAGACTAATTGGAAGGAAAACAACCTCAAGAAGGACGAACGAACAAGTAACGGTTGCGAGAGACTGGCGCAACCCGACGCTTTACACCACAGCCAGTCCATCCACCATGGATCCTCACGACCTGGACCCTCGGGACCACCGACCTGGTCAAGAAGTCGTCGGACAAGGACGCTGCCACCCGGCCCGTAGAGGTGAATGAAGAGAACAAAGACCAGGAAGGTGGTGACCAGTCAGCACAAGGAGGCGACGGCATCAACGCTAATCCCGACGAAGGGGTCCCGCCAACGACTGCCACAGGTAGGCCGCCGAATGGCAACGGGGCCACCAACAACATGCCCAAGGTCAAGACGAGCATGAACGCCTTCATTCAGAAGCTGCTGCAGTCCGCCAAGGCCGGCTCGGCCGACAAGCGTCTCCTGTCGCTGCTGCAAGAGTGCGCTGAGACCGAGTCGCTAGCCGAGAGCATGCCCGAGCTTGTCGAGTCACTAGCGCCTTCTAACGGCGGTGATGGCCAGGGGCCCGACGAGAGCGCCGAGGCTGACGAAGCCGAGGAGGAAGCGGCGGCCGAGGCGGACAAAGTGTACCAGGGCCTCAAGGCGCGCCTGATCCTGGGCGATGCCGCACTCGAGACACTTCTGGAGCTAACGACGACGGACACGTTCGAGTCGGTGGTTTCGCCCAATACAACGAACACGGAAGGCTTCTGGGGCAAACTTTGGAACGGCATCAAGGGGGTTGGAAAGGGCGCTCTCAAGGCCGCCCCCGGCATCATTGTCTCGGCGGCCGGGAGTGCGCTCATGAAGAAGATTACCGAGGCTAGTGAGGCCGGCGTTGGCACGGGTCCCAATCCAGATGGCGGGTCGGGCGGTGATGGGAACTCAGGCGAGACGGGTGGTGAGGGTGGCAATGATGACGAGGCCGGCAATGATGACGAGGCCGGCAATGATGACGAGGCCGGCAATGATAACGAGGCCGAGGAGGATCCGGAGCATGAGGCCATGGACAGCTTCGAAGATTGGATGAAAGGTCAGTCAAAGCAGACGTAAGCGTCACTGGGGAGGGAAACAGAATCTAGTAATGAGCTACCTGGTGACTCAGGACATCTTTCACGGTCGCGTTAGGACAAACAAGGGATACTTTTTTCCTATAAAACGAACGAGCTAGCATCAACCGGTTTTGCAAGAATCTCTTCCCATACAACATTTATGCTGTAGTTCTTCACAAATTTGCGGTAGAAGTTGCAAAATCCGAGGAAAGACTGCACACCCTTTACCGTAGTAGGCTCCTGCCAGTTTGCCACGGCGGTGATCTTCTCGGGATCGACGCCCACTCCGTCAACGCCCACGATGAACCCAAGGAACTTCGTCCTCTGGACGTGGAATTCACACTTCTTGATGTCGGCCTGGAGACCTGCCTGTCTGAGTCGTTCCAACACCTTTCGTACATGTTCGCGGTGCACCTGTAAGGTGTTGGAGTAGATCAAGATACCGTCGATGTATGCACTGCAGAACTCGTCGAGGTAGCCCATCAAGGCGTTGTTGATGTATCGTTGGAACGTCGAAGGACCGTTGGATAGCCCGAACGGTAATACCTTGTATCACAGAGGTGGAAATCGGTCAGCACATGAAGACTTGATTCCTTCCGTGCCCTCAGGGCAGGTCTGACAAGCTATTCAATATACAATGGAGGCGAGGTGTGAGCGTGTCTCAGCCCCTCATCCTTCGGAGCTTGGCGTTGACAGAGTGCGTTGATGTGACTCGTCCTGAGGCACTCGAAGGAGCCAGGAGGATTTGACGGAGTGTAGGACCACTGTTTCGGCGGCATGTGACACACCCCCCAGGTTCCCGGATCTGCTGATTGAGCTCAGAGATTCGGGTGCCTGCCTCACATCCGAGGTCACTGTCTTCTGCTGGCCCCTTCGGGCCATGAATGGAGTCTCTATCTTTGCCTCCTCCCACTGATTGACCTTCTCCGCGACTCCTTTCGCAGGTGCTTACGCCTCCTCCAGAGTGAGATTCTTAGACGTCGCCCAAACTGCTGGGGCTACAATAGCCTGTGTGTCTTGCAAGTTCAGCATCATCCTGAAGTTCTCGAACTTCTGTCGGGAGAGACACTTGGTGAGGCCGTCAGCCGGCATCTGGGCCGTCGGAAGGTAGGTCACAATGAACTTCCCAGCCGCGTATTCTTGACGCAGCCACATATTCTGGATATCAATATGACGGAGGCGCGTACTGATCCTAGCGTTCTCGCCAACAACCAGACGAATGGTCTGCTGATTGTCACAGAATATAGTCATGAGCTGGCCAAGGTCGAGACTGATACAGCGGAACAGCCTCTCGAGAGCGAGAGCTTCCTTGGCAGTGTGCTCAAGGGCGAGAAGCTCAGCTTCTGTGGTAGAGGTTGTGACGGTTGCTTGTCTGGCGGCCCTCCACAAGAGAGGGCCTCCGAATAGGATAAAGATATATCCCTGGGATGAGTGGCGTGTTTCCTCATCGTCGGCAAACGACGCGTCTCCTGCGACGATTAAGAACTGCCCTTCCAAGTGCTCACCTCCGTACTGGATGCCCGGAAAGCGGCGGCCATACAGATACAGAAGCGCCTGGTTGGCAGCGGCAAGGTGTGCAGGTCCGGGGACATTAATACACGCTGAGACGAAGGAGCAATATGACAAAGAACGCGAAAGTAAAAATTCAGACGAAATGAATGGAGGGGGAGGAGAATTCGTTGATGATCGAATGGATATAGATGACTATGGGTTCATCGAAGACGACGATGGTGAAGAGGGACTGTTACAAACCAACGATGATGACCGCTGTGTGGATATAGACTCGCTCCTCGCGCTCTACAAAGAGGGTACTCCAGACTTAGAGCAGTATCTCGCATCCACTGACTATTCCAGTAGCCCGCCGAACGATCTGGCCAAGCTACAATGCGAATCCCTTGATCGACGTAACGAGAAGATAGCTACGGCGCATGGCACACAATACAAGATTAGTTATACGCTCTTGAAGCAGTACCAGTACGAAGTTCAGGAGTTGAAGCGACAGATTGAGGCTACAAGCGGAGCATCGAAGACGAAACTGACCAACGACCTACATACCACTTTTGCTCAAATTCACAAGTATCTAGTGAATGGCAATCTGCCCACCCGCTGGGCAAACCTGTTGGGTGCACCCCCACCGCCAGAAAGCTTTGATTCATCGCTCCCTTCCGCCTGGGATCGTCTGTACAATGGCTTTCCCAGAAAAACGAATGATCAATATGATTTTCATAGCTTGGGCCGAACCACACGGGCTCCAGCGAGAAAAAATCTTGGCTATGACGCCCTACGGTCTTGATTGCAAAGGGAAGTACGAGGTCGGGTTCGAAGAATATGAAAAGTTCAAAGACGAGAAAGTAATCCCAAATACGAGCTCCTTACGAGCACGGGCGAGTGTAAGGCTCAGGTTCAGGGAATTCTGGGCGCCTGGTCGGAAGGTGAAGGGACAACCGAGAGATTCCCAGAGGTCTATTGCCTTCTCCAATTTACGGGCAACGTCTTTAGGGTGGCGTCGCCGCCTCAACCTCTTCCTGCTTCTTCGACTCCTCCAGTCCGATCCCTTCGAGCCCGCGGGATGCCCTTGATCCGGACGTTGCGTGCATTGAACACAAGTGCTTCAAGAGCTGCTGGTACAGAAAAGCAAATACCATAGCTGACCTCATTACTGAGCATTTGCCGTATATGGATGAACATCCGTTCGCTATGTCAATGTCAAGCACGCTCAGTTCGTTCCGACAGACGGCTGCCTCCCTCGCTCAACCCTCCCTCGCTCAGCCGCCGCCCTTCAGCTTCGTACAGTATCGCACCTGTAGAGACCCTACACGCCGCTCTCGATGCGGGAAGGCACTAGTGAACTGCTTCTGGATGTCCTGCCACGGCAGCCCCAGTCCTAGAGTCTTTCATCCAAAGCCGCCCCTACCGCAAATCATCGAGTCCCTCGGTCAGCCCGACTACTCGCCCGACCACAATCTTCCCGTCCCGACGACACCATCCGACCCAGCACCAACCCAACGATTACTCCAATCCAGTTCCTGCAAAGCACACATATGAAGATTAGCAGAAAGAACGAACATTGAATCCTCATTAAACAAAGGGCAGTTGAAAGGAGAGGTGACTTACGCAACGAAAATGAAACCACCGATGATCGCTTCCCATATTCCCAAAACCCCCAAAACCCCCAAAGCCTGCCCCTGAGTACAGGTATCAAATTGCATCCCGGCCACCGGCACCCACAAGAAAAACCGTGACACCCACAATACGCCCCAGTCCTGTCCGAGTTCCGGTTTTTCTACTAATTGATCGACAATAAGGTTGGCTTATAAGTTTCTCCCAGATTGGCAGCTATGTTATAGAATTTTATGTTATATGATACCCGTTGGGGAGGAGGTTAGTGCTCTGTCTATTTCCCTACTTTGTTGCATAGGGTAGTGACCTGTTCCCCAACGGATGGGTATATATCGAATAGATGAGTCTCGGAGTTGTATTGAAGCCATTTGCCCTTTCCGTTTATGGCAATCCTATAGCCCAAGTATAGAACCCATGTAATTCTTTCGTCGAAGAGGGAAGCCGATTCGAAATACTTCTCATTGTCGATGATTTTGTCTTCCGAGAACCAGTCGCTTGGGAAATAGTTCTCAACCCACAGAAGGCCGCGCATAGCAAAGTCCTCGGGTAAAGGACGGGGAACCTCTTCGTTCTCCGGCCTGGGAAACTGATCGCTCTCAAATCGGTTATATGCGAAGGAGGAGGGGTGGGAGAGTAAGCTTACCCACTATCGTATGGAAGTCTAGGTGGAGATGGTACCATCGCAGCTCCCAGTGGCAATGACCCCGTTGCTACCTCTAATATTTCTACTTGTGAGAAAGAATTGGGAAATGGTCGCATCTGTGGTAAAGAGGGACAGGTTGTGGTGACAGCCCAGCGTGAGATAGCAGAATGTGACGGCACCGGTACTATAACGGTAGCCAAAGGACGATCTGATCATTCCATGTGATAGTCGAGTAAAATCTCGTACGACCTCTTTGTGGCCTTGGAACGAGGCCGCCTGGAGCGCCGTGCCGTAATGTCCGCCTTGTGCATTAACGTCGGCGCCCTTATCGAGCAGCATCTCGACGACCTCTTTGTAGCCTTCTCCCGAGGCCGCCTGGAGCGCCGTGCTGTAGCGCCCTCTACTTTGTGTATTGACGCCGGCGCCCTTATCAAGCAGCATCTCGACGACCTCTTTGTGGCCTTCTCTCGAGGCCGCCTGGAGCGCTGTGCCGTCTCCGCCTTGTGCATTAACATCTATTTTCTCCTTGGCCAAGATATCTTCGACGACCAGCCTTAGACCCAGATAACTCGCCAGAGCCAAATCAGTCCAATTTTGCCACCTGATCCACCTCGGTTCGAAGTAGTTAGGTGCCCAAACTATCGCCTTCCCAACCACATTACAGAGCGCGCGCGCATCCTTCCGTGATGGGTCTGCAAGGACATCTTCCTGCGAGATGTGGTGCGAAGGCCAGTGAACAGCTGCGTACGGGAGGAATGAGCGTTCTTGACTACCGGGAGAGTTCTGAACTGGTGTTGCGAGATCTGGCAGCAGTAAATAGTGAAGCCAGACCAGTGACATCGTGCTGTGCGACTTTCGCATGTTCAAGCGCCCTTCCCACTTGCCTTGTCGTTGAGGATTGGTGAGGAATTCCCTCGCTGTCTGATGAATGAAAGACAGCTTTGAGTCGTAGACGCTGATGAAGAGGCCGCATAAGTTCTTGACGATGCGTCAGAAGTTGTCTCTTGGCACAATTCTGATTCAACGGCCGCGTATGATGCGAACCGTTGTTTCTGTGAAGCTAACGTCAACGCAACGTTCGTCTCGTCGAGAGTTAGGGGCCGTGCAGCGGTGAGGGTGATTCGGAGAAGTATATCGGTTTGTTCTTCATCCTGGCTTCTGCTCAATATCTTTTCGTACGCTTCAGACACCTGGGATGGAATATCAGACAATAGGCTCTCAAAGCTTGACCGCTTCCCGTATCGACTCAGGTTCTCCTTGATTATGTCGAATATGAGATAAAGCCACAGGTATGTGCGGTTCTCCATGCTCTTGAGGCGTTGGGAAATCTTGCGTCGATCATCAGCGTTGAAACTACCCATGACTGTATTTACGCGCTCATCGATGACCAGATTGATCTCGCGGCCGATGTCGGCAGACTTGTCGTCGCCATCGAATCGCAGATACTTTGTCGTAAGGAAATTCCCAAAATAAGCCTCTAAATTGTCGTATGGACGACTGGTGATGAGAAACTTAAGCTTCGAAGACGAGTGGGCCAGATGGTGCGGCTGGCAGTAGAAGTCTTTAAGCTTGTTGATCAATTCCTTCCGGCTACTTTTATCGCATTCATCAAGAGCATCGAGGATGCAAACAACTTCTCCAGTGTCCGAGGATCTGACACACTCCAGCAGGATTCGCCAGAGCTCAGAGAAGTTTTGGGTCAGCTTTTCACCGTAGTTCTTATGGCTGGGCAGCGCATTTCCGATCAGGCCGCCGGCAGGGTCCTGTGTGAAAAGCTGGTGGAGGATGGCACACAAGGCGTTGGTGCTGTGCATGCGGCGTTCATCTCCGTCCTTGAAAAAGAAATAGCAGACGGTCGAGGTCGTAACGTTCGTGGATAGCCGATGGTCGTCGATCAGAGCCCGCGACAGGACCGACTTTCCACACCCAGGGCCGGCAGAGACCCAGAGAAGGCTGGACGTGTTGCTGTCTCGCCACTTACGGAATCTGTCATCGTCGAAGAACCACTCGCATGTGCCTTCCACCTTACGCGGGTTGAAGTTTTTGTAACCTTCGTAGTCGGACGCGAGATCTTGAAGGAGAACTCTTTCCTTCTGGTCCTCGTAGATTCTCTGGGTCTGCCTCCCACCTCTTTCAAGAATCCCCCGGATCTCGCCGAGAATGGTCCGAGACTGTTGTATCTCTTGCAGCTGGCAGTTCCAGCGTTCCCTGATTTCCCCTTTCATTGAGATGAACGATGCAGCCGCTGCAGTCTTTACTCAACTTATCAATCTCTGCTGCCTTATTATCCCAGTCGTTCCAGCCGGCCACGTTTTGCCACGCGCGCGAGAGTTGGGCTATGGAGAGATGGCATATGACGCGGGCTTGATATTCGATGATGTACGAATAGACCTTGGCCAAGGGTTCGACAAGGCGTTCGTAATGTTGTCGATGTTCGGATTGGAGATAGGTCTCTTCGCAGATTCGCCAATATATTTGGAGGTCGCCGATTAAATTGAAGCCTTTAGCATGGCCTCGTTTTGGATGGTACCGCTTGTGAGGAGCTGCCCCGGTAAGCATGCGCGTAGGAGCTGGGAAGATCATAGACCTACGGGGAGAAGCAACGAAACACCGGTCCATGCCAGCGCCGCGTACGGCTGAGCGCTGAGAGCGTCCTTGACTATCGGGTCGGACCAGAGGAGAAACTTTGCCAACTTCTCCGCCTGCTCTCGTATCTTTATATCCCTCCCCAGAAGCGAGACTTGCCACTGCTTCTTCTCCCGATCTTCTAACAGCTGCGTCACGATTGACTCGACGGACCGCGGCACTGAAAGGTCGATGCTGGCTGGGGGGTCGCCTTGCACGGAGGCCAGATGCTTCGCGTAGTCTGCCATCAGCTCGGGCTCCCGCTCCCGGAATATCTTGTATGCCTGGCCCCACGGATCGACATCGTGGCTTGGGGAAGAGGCCGTGTCGGAAGTGGTGGCAGGGCGGAGGGTTGGGGCCGGCGAGGCGGGAGTGGGGTTCGGAGGTTGTGGAGCAGACAGCACGATCTGCTCGGGAGGCGGATGCGTGATAATTGTCGGGACCGGGGGGATTTCGGAAGCGGAAGCTGGCGCCGACGCGGACGGTAAGGCTGGTGCGGTTGGCAGGGTCGCAGGCGGAGATGAGACTCCGCTAGCCGCCTTGGATGCGCCGTCGGGTTTATGCTTCCCCCGCAGCCTGTTCGTGATCTGCGAAAGTCGTCCCATACTGTTCCGGACACCGGCCACGAGCGGGATATTGATGGCTGTCTGCAGAATCGTTCCTGGGCGAAGTATCACGGGGCGAGAGGGCACCGTTGGGGGTATGGTAAGATATGTGTTGTTGTGCGAAGGAGAGGAAAGGAAGATGTGCGTGGAGGACTGGCTATATGGGCGAGAGCCCAGACAGGCCAGTCCGTGCGTACCAGTAGCTTTTTGTTGTTGTTGTTGTTGTTGTTGTTGTTGTTGTTGTTGTTGTTATTTTTAACGTCTACTTCCGCCTCCCGTGGGGCATGAGACGTGCCACATCGGTGAATATAGCGTACAAAAATAGGAGCAATGCCCTGGCGCGCCCGTGCGTACCAGTAGCGGCCTGGTAGCTTGCACCACTTATGGGGCCGCGGCGGGGGTAGGGTGTAAATCCGAGTGTCCTCCGGGACGAAATGTTTCGTCGGCTTGTGAAGGGATCCTTCTAGCATGTCTGAAAAGGGAAACATTCTGGCCGTTTGCGGCATCTGATTGGTTCGACGATGTGCGCTTGGCATGTGACCAGTCAAGGGTCGCCTGGCATCCTGGCATCCCAAGAGTTTACTGGAAAGGGTTCACAAAGGATCGAGAGTATTATGATTTGTAAATGTAAATGATGATGTATCGAAGGAGGGCAGCAAGGTAAAGATTGCCAAGGTACCTTCATCGTTTGGCCAAACGATACAACCAAATAAGAAACCGAGCAGCAAGGGAGTTACCAGATATAACGACGACCCCAACCTTCTTCTCCAAAGCAAGCCGATCATCTGATTTTTGCTAGACGGCCTAATTAACGTGATTCTGAGTACTACCAGACATCTTCAGAAAACGTCGTTTTGATAGCCTCAGAGACGGCACCCGGACTTCCTATTGTCGAGATTGAGGTTCGATAGTGCCTCATCCGTCTCTTCGATATCCTCGATGAGTTCGTTCTCGCTGCTTAACCTCTCCAGCTCCTCTTGGAGAAGCGCGATGAGGCGTCCAGATGCCCTGTTCATTGCCCTGTTCAGGATCTAGAGGAAATTAGTGTTAGATGGGTGTGACTGGCATGGACTTTCAACTGCTTATTCGGGGACGCATGTTCCTACCTCACCAAAATCGCGCCCATCACCTAGTGCCGACTGTGTCTCTCCTTGGATTTCCTTGCCATCCGTCATATTTAGCGAATATAGATCCGGCGGAGGCAGAGAATTCATTATCTGAGGGGTGACCAATTTGGGCGTGCTAACTTCGAACTTGGCGTGGGATCCTAGGTAGGGGCGTTGGAAGTGGGTGGTAGGTACGAAAGACCGCTCGAGCGAGGCTTCCGTTGGGTAATTAAGCAGGTTAGAAGTCTTCTCTCTTAATATGGAATACATCTCGTCACCCATTGTTGACAGGGTGAGGTACCGATTGGCGCCAAATTCAGTTGTCCGTTGATAATAGAAGCGAAACGAAAACGTCGAGGATATGGTTTGGGAGAAAACGGTGATATGTGAAGAAGAGATGTGTGAGAAGATGTTCTCAAATACGATACCAAGTGCTTCACAGAACTTGATGATGGTGCAAGTGCTGCGCAAAACTTGATGATGGCTGGAGTGGTATATATTCCATGGAAAAACAGGCGGCCAATAACACATCTTGGTTTCACCGACTTCCGCCTAAATCGGACTTAGGGCCTGGAGGGGTCGTCGAGCATCGAATGCCCTTGATGCCTTCGGTACCCCGGCGAAGTGGTGACGTTACACGATCCCTGGCCGCAGCAACAGCCTCTCCCAAACGGGTACCAAGCCTCTGAGCGGAAGCCTAAGATGGTGATACTCCATAAGATAATGACTTGATTGCATTGTTCCTCCTGGCTTACTCCCAATGCAAATTCTCAAACACGGCGCCGCATTGCTAGGTTCGGCTACGTGACGTCTCGTCGCGCAGGTCGTGCGTGGCATCCCACTCAGTCAACTTAGCGATCGACACCTTGACCAGCTTGTGACTCTGCGCACCATCCTCAAGTCGCAAAACCTCCTGGCGAATGCGATAACCACGCAGCTTCGGGATCACGGAGATTCAGAGGTAGTAGTAAATAGTGCAAGCGATCAAGCTGATATCTGTGTCAGTTGACCACTCTTTTTCTGTAAGCCGCGGCGGCTTTTCAAGACAAACAAATCAAAAAAAAAAAAAAAAAAGAACTTACATTCTGATGCCCGTGACCACATAGGTCCCGTACCAAAAGCTGACATCGCCCGCGTACGCTCCTCCCGCGGGCGGATACCACGGCATGACGACCAGGTAGAGCTGCACCAAGATGTTGAACACGACTACGAGGTCCCAGGCTTTGAACTCCGGGCGGGGAAGGTTCAGCCGAGACCGTCGGTACCGGACGACGTACAGACCTATTCCCATGATCAACTGGAAGAAGGCCGAAGGCAATACTTGGAGATCGATGATGAAGTTGAAGGCGTCTCCAGCAGGAGGCGCGAGGATCATGAGGATGGTCAGAGCCCATTTGTGCCCGAGACGGTGGTGGATAGGTCTTTGATGTGCGCAAGGACTACATCGGCTGGTTGGCCTAAGTGTGTGTTGTCTTGTCGCCCGCGGAGGGGGGTAACGTGCGAGGAGAGGCCGGTGTAGATGATGATGTTTTCATACGGACATCCCGCGCACCGATCAACCAAAACAAAAAGCAAACGCACACGTTGAGACCCTGCCGCCCAGAGCCTCCCCAGACCGAAAACCCCTAATTACAAAATCCGGATCCAGAACCCGCCCAAGATTAACAAGAAACCCGAACCAAGGAAACGCCGTTAGTGTTGCTGTTGCTCCCCCCACCATTCATCCATCCTCCCAGTTAAGTCATGGTCCTTTCTTTTTGTGCGCCCTCGATGCATGCTGGCTGTATGCTCTGGAAAACAATCGGCGCCGCCCAACCCCAAAAACGTGGTGTATGAGGTATCCACGGGTATCATCAAAGAGAAGGCAGCCTCCTAGTTTTGGCTCCAAAGTTCAATGACTCACACCAAAAAAAAAAAGCAATGCATCCACCGTCATGACGTCCGGCTTCCCATGTTCACACAAACATTCTTCCTCGGGACACTCCAACAGGCTAGTGCCTCCGGGACCTCGACTTTGACGACGACTCCTTATCCTTGTTGTGCTTCTTTTCCTTACCGCTGTAGTCCAGCGCACTGTCGTAAGATGTTGGTTGTCCGGCCTCCTCTGCGGTCATGGATACACCATCTCTGGGGTCCCTTGTACCGCGCTTGCTGGAATCTTTTCTCTTCTTCCTGGAGCTTTCGGGAGCAGAGCCGGGAGCAGGTGCTGGTTTGTCTGTTAGCTTATTGCTACCGAAGTCCGAAGTCTCAGGTCACTGGAGGAGGGTCCACCACATATCCTCTCTGGGACAGTTCCTGCAGCACATGTGATCGCAGGTTGGTTGTATTACAGAATGTGGACGTGGGTACCTCTAATTACGTTATATGAGTACCTGTAAAGATGGTCAAGGTATTTAGGAGTATTTGTCGGGATATAGGGATAGTAATTTAGTAGAAGTATTACGGCTAATAGTGAGTTTTTATTTGAATAAGAAAAAGCGTTTACACTTTTATACATACGTTTTACTACTTTGTTTCTACTTTAACGATGGGCTATCGCGAGATAGATGTAATGAGTCTAGCCAGCTAAGTTTAGAGGGGAGAGTTGAGTGGAGAAATTCTACAACCGTCACGACAACATGTTACTGGGAACAACATTGTAGCACTGTTCGAGCGTGTATCCTACTCCAGCGACGAGTACTTCGCAATTGTCACTTGTACCGTGTCAGCGCCAAGCTGTAAAGGTCTGTGCGCTGAGAATTTGGGCGACCGACAAACTGGAAGCCGATTTCGAATGCGACTGTAGTGAGGAGGAAGCTCATGCGCGATATGGACAAGTTGAGCAAGTTTGTTACAGCTAGGAGCGAAATTGGCGTCCGCTCTGCACTTTTTCAAAGTGTTTGGGCACGAACCAGCTATACTTGAGAAACATTAAAGGTACAGCACGACGCCAAAAACGGCCGACATTTGCCCACTTCTAACTTGCTGACGTCTTGTCGGCATGTACCCTGTAACTCTTCCAGGGCAGGCTTGGCATTTCTCCTTCCCAGCCCAATTCCCTTTCTTCGCCTATCCAGACAATAGCATCCATGTATTTCCCATGCGCTCGTCCTGAATTCCCACCTTACCTCTCTGGCAAGGCTGTGACTGAGTGTCGCGCGACTAACACCGCCAATGACGATGCTTCGAATTATGCGCGGTTGGCTCCTGTTCTCCAGGCGCTAACGCAGACAAAATGCGCAGCGTGCGGGGTTGGTGATCCAGGCAAAGGCAGCGCCTTGAAACAAAGACGACAACAGCAACCACCTTTAAGGCTCCCAATCAAACCCACCGAGATATACGCTACGAATTTTGCCCGTTACTTATGGTAAGTAGTTCTCGTCTGTCGAACAACTCTCCCAGTTTCAACTGCTGATTTACTGTACCTACAGTCCCGCGAACATAAGCCGTCCGCTCGCGAAGCCTGCGAGCCTTTTCCCACCATCGAACATTTGTATGATTAGCTGCCGAGGGAGCTGAGCCTGGCGGACTTTGCAATGCGACTCCTGGAGCGTGACGATACCGGCGGGGTCCGTCTGACGGAGGACCTCCCCAACAACGAGATTCCACCGTATGCGATACTTTCATACACATGGGGTCCCGAAGAGGTCCTCTTCAGAGACATGACGGACGGTACAGGCAAGAACAAAGCAAGCTACGCTAAGATTCGTTTTTGCGGAGACCAAGCCTGGCGCGATGGATTGAAATTCTTCTGGGTCGACACATGCTGCATCGACAAGTCTGACAGCGCCGAGCTTCGACTTCGATAATGCAAGATAAGTTTGCGTCTCGAAAACAAGATCAAGTGTCCACAGGCTCGGTCAACCGGCAAAAAGGCCGTAAGCGTCATATTGCTAAATCCAACTTGGGCCATCCTGCATCGGACAAAACTACATCTAGGTTATCTCTTGCCTTGATTCCCCGAGCCTCAGCTGGCCTCTATAGCCAAAACAACTCGTCCTCTTCCATCTTCTCAAGCCGTTCCTCCATCGTCAGTACCGGAAGTTTCTGCTCAACCCCGAGCCCCAAGGTCCGAACTTCTTCTTCTCAGATTGAGGCACGTACCCAGGGCCGCAAGCTTCGACCACGCGACGCGCGCTCTCATCCATAGCTTTTCCCAGCCATCCGCTAGACTTAGTGATGCGCTTGGCGTAGAGGTTGTGGAGCGCAGGCAGGTAAACGACATCGTTGACGCAGTACTGCAGCGTTTTGGCGTCCAGAGGGCGGCGGGAGAAGATATCGTTGTTGGGCATGTTCATCAGAGCCCGCACCTCCTGCTTGGTTCTGACCCAGCGCTGCTTCTCCACGTATTTCAGCCCAAGATCCCTCTCGACACACCTGTCGAGCCCGTAGAGGTACGTCTTGTCGCCGACGCGGGATCCGTTTTCGAGGAGCTGGACGTCTGTGACGCCCGCGAGACGGACCTTGTGGTGCGCCCAGAGGGCGTCCGCGTCGTTGCGTACGTCCCAGAAGCATTTGGAAGTGTGGGGATCCTCGAGGATGGCTTTGAGGGTGTTTCCGTCTGTGCCGGGAGTGGTGAAAGCAGAGTCGCCGAGGGTTTGGACATCGACAATGCTTGTTGCCCGCGTGGGAAGGACGAGAATCGTCAATAGCGTGAGGGTTCCATTGCGGCTGAGACTTTTGCCCTCAAGGTCCAGATAAAACGTGCTGGACGGAGGGATCAAAGAGAGGAAGACCTGGAGGTCTGGAAGGGATGAGATCAAGGTTGGGGTCGCCATACTTGACTTGGGAAGGGTGCGCCTTGCCGATGGTTTGATATGTCGAAGGGAGTTTTCTGCTGTCCCAGAACGCAACTTATTGTGGAGTTTGCGTGTCTTATTCTGTCCGAAGGGCAATTTTGTTGCCAAACTTTTCTTCAGACTCAAATGCATGGTGTTAAAATCGAACTGGTTTGGGTCACATCATCTACTTAAGTCAAGGCAGACAAGTACAAGTCGGGCCTCAAGCATACTTTGAGTAGAGTTGGAGGCTGCTGGCATCTGATCCTTAGAGCTGTGGTTGGCTTGTCGCTCTCAACGCTGCCGTCACCCTGTTTCGCAGCTCTGGGCCTCTGGCATAGAGCTCTCTCGGCCAATCGACTCGTCTACAAACGAAGGTATTGGCGGCTGCGCCGACAGTGTGTTGCAAGCCAACCACCATGTTTATGTTCCCGAGCTCAAACGTCCTGACAGTCCAGCCGAATGCAACTTCCCGAGTTGAGCTTCCCTTCCGACACCTTGGTGGCAAACGGACCTTCGAGACAAAACGAACAAAACTTCATCTGCCTGTCTCTCCACCAAATGGGCAGATACAAGAAATACGGTTGTGGATTTGAAATCAGCGTACTTGAAACTATCAGTATAAAATTCTTCCTATCAACATAATTGAGTTCTTTTCATTGTCGTCTTTCGTTTTGAAGGTCCGTTTATCAAAAGTTGTACAATCTAACCCTGGTTTGTTTGTTAGTTTGGTACAAAAAAACGCCTTTCTCCACCCAAAGGGTTTTAAAAGCATTGAGGCTTCAAGCGGACGGGTGCCGTAGGAGGGGACTGCTCTCTTATATCTTCCAGTCTTGAGGGCTTTGAAGGAGACGGGGAGAGGCATAAGAGGCTTCTGTGGCGTTTTGACCCCTTGTCATTGTCCCATGACGCTTCAAACGGAGGCCAGTTTCTCTCTTTGGAGGCCAATGAAAGCTCCCGATCTCCCCTGCTCAACCCATGGCCGAGACAAGGTACGCAAACCCTTTCTGCCCAGCCTCGAGTAGAGCCTCGCGGTTAGACTTTGTCTTATTGTCAAGTTGTCGTGCACAGAGGAGACTGACCGCGATTGCAGGGTATGACTTGGCACTGATGGACGAAACGCGAAAAGTGCTGGAGAAAACAGGCAAGCCTACCGTCCTCAAAACCGGACGAAGAATGTATAACTGAGTGGGCTTGCCTCTGGGAGAGCGGAGTGAGATGAGGCGATGCCCTTTGGGGATGGCACTGTGATGGCGTTGACGGCTTCGTTACTTGTATTAGTATTTGTTTCATCTGTGTATTCGGGTAGATAAAACACTTCTCGGTGATGTCTTTCGGCCATTGCTCGGTTTATCATTGCGGACATTAGTGTCACCGTGCCACGGTGATGGCAGACTACCCACATCGACCAGGCGGTTGAGGAACCCTAACGCTAGTTCCAGCGAGCCGGAACTAGCGTTAGGGTTCTGACCGCTATATATAGAAACATAGCTCCCGCCCAATCCAGCGCTGTCTGTCTATTCTTATCCTTAGCACCTGCGTCAACCTTGCCAGTATCGCGAAGTAGTTTAACAACTGCGTCATACCCATTCTCTGCCGCCATATACAGCGCTGTCCGTTCATACTCGTCCCGAAGATCTGCATCAACCTTGCCAGTATTGAGAAGCAGCTTAACAACCGCCTCATGCCCATACTTCGCAGCGCTGGCGCGAACAAGTGCAAGCCCGCCCGCCGACTCTGCAACGCCTCAATCCGAGCAACGTGATGCCCAGCCCAATATCATCTATCCGTGCAAGCCCCCCTACATCGGCTGTGACAAAAGCTACCTTATCGTTCAAGCCCAGAAGCCAACAAAGACCGTCACTTGCTCTCCTAAGGCTCGAAGAGGAGATCGAGAGTCGAGATGAGGGCGGCGTCGGGGATAGGTGGTGCAGCCAAGGGTCAGCTACTGCTAACAGCTGGGGGGCTAGTTCGCAAGCTGAATGGTTAGGACCACAAGGATGACAGGCTAGAGTCGAGATTGAAAAGAGTTCGGTATCGGGAGTGTCTCTTCTGGTAATACCGAATGGCATCTGATTGGTGCGTATAAAGCTGTCGGAAAGGGGACGGGAGAACGAACAAATTTGACAGAGGGAATTTGGGCGACTGGCTGGTCGCTCTCGTCGCCGTTGGTCAGCAGGGCAAGGGCAACGCAAATGACCTTGTGCAGTCAGCAAAAGTGTGATGCAGATGCCACGGGTTCTGGAGCTGGAGGAGTCGCGGTCGATGTCACCCAAGAGTCTGGGGTTAAGATGGTGGGCTAGCAGAGTTTGTGTACACTACATACCTGGACACTTTGGATCGGACTAAACCAGAGACCTCAGTTTGATTTTTGTTCTTTCGAGGTCAGCTTCTCCGTCTCGAACATCAAAATGCGTTTTCGGCTTTCTGGCGTTTCGTGATGCTCACGGCGAGGGCAGTGGCCCAAAGGAGGAATTGCAAGTAAGTCCTAACTCCCGATCACCTGAACAGGGAAACCGTTGACGGCTCTCGTCAAAAGAACAGGGAAGCTATCCTACTACCACTGCCGATACCACAACAGGTAGAAATAAGGATAGGAGCAGCGGCTTGTTGGCTACGTCCTCCAAGTCTAAAGTGGTGATTGCCCGTGGGAGTTGGGCTATTCCCAGTGACAAGTCGTCCAAGAACTAGGAGACTGTCTAAAAACTAGGGGGAGAATATCCACGTCATCGCCCTTCGTCGTCGTCGATGAGGGAAGATAGAGAAAGGAAGAGCAAGTTAGAGGGAGGAAAAGTGAGGAAGAGGAAGGAAGGTAGACAGAAGTAGAGGAAGGAAGAGGATATTCATAGGAAGACAGGGGGTTGAAGGCAGGGGAAGAAAGTTGTCCGTCAGCCTTTTTAGTGGTGTTGGAGGCTGCCGGCTTCTGATCCTAGAGCTGTGGTTGCCTTGTCGCTCTCAACGCCGCCGTCACCCTGTTTCGCAGCCCTGGCATGCAGCTCTCTCAGCCAATCGACTCGTCTACAAAGGTGTTGGCGGCTGCGCCGGCAGTGTGTTGCAAGCCACCCACCATGGTTATGACATGCCAGGATGGAAGGGAAGAGGTGGGCTAATGCAGGCAGATGAAGAAGGTAGGTTAAGGCAGGTACATGAAGGAGGTCTATCGTGATCAGTTTGTCGTAGTGGATCACCAAACCGTGATCCAACAAGACAAGAGCGAGAGATTCCCTTGCCACGCTCTCATCAGACTCGGCGACTAACTGCATACACATAACTAGGCCGAGGAGTACTAGGAACCAATCAGGAATGGTCTTCTGACCGAGCGCAATCTTGGTGTTACCCGTGTAAAAGAGCTAGCCGCAGTGTCAGGACGGTCAACTTTTCTCGTAATCCGCCCAATTATATTCATCTTTTTAGCGCCGCCTCCCCACTTACCGTCTTGCCTCCGTCCGAACGATATGGATATGGGAGGTGGTGGTTCAGTTTTTTGACCCTACCACGTGATTAAAAGACCCGTTTCATATCCTTCCCACTCCCATAGATAAGCAGACATATCGGAGGCTTGTCTATGGGAGTAATTTTTTGTAGTTTTTAACAGGGATTTTGATGGCTCAGCTACACCTCTGCCGGGATATGAATGTTAGGGCGAGTACGTCGATCCTACAGAAAGTAGGAGAACAGAGGTTAGCGGCTGGGCACTTTTCTGTAAATGCTACGCTGCGGCAAAAGTCAAAAATTAACCTTTCATACCCCAGCAAGGGTGTAGAAACGCCGGCGTTTCCAGAAGCGTTTTCATCCTATCACTCACGCCAAGCGCGGCTAAGGCTATGAGCCGGGCTAGCACATTGAAAGTTAATTCTAAATTAGGCTTCGATATCTTGGTTATATGGGAGCACACGGTGACTAGATGTCTCGTTTTTTACAAGCTTCTTAGGTAAACTTGACTAACTTGGAGTGGACGTTTGTACCTGTTGTGCCCATTCAGCACCGTCGCACACTTGGGTGAAGCTGCATCTTTCAACCTCAGCACATCGACAGTCGGTACAAATCCAAGCCGACGAATAGAAATACTCAACCATTATTCTTTTTGCCCTTACTGCAACATCCCTCAGCTACGCTCGCAGGACGATGGATTGGGAGCCGTCCTTCTCGCAATTAAAACGTCCCCGCCGACACTACGAAGCGTAAGAACCCGAGATATTTGGGCAGGCGAATCCGACTAGAACCTAAGAACCTAGGCCTATAGCAGCCTCCACCGCTTAATAGATCACAAGTGTTCCTCAATTTATCCTCCAGCGGCGGGGTCGTAAAGTTGTAGAACTCGCTGTCCTGTTCTGGGTTATCACAACTAAGTTCCAAGCCGCAGGCGGAATTCTGAACCGGAGATGTCAGAGTGGCAGTAACGACCATTCACGAGACTGAGCTTCTTCCCATCAGTCAGCATGGTTAATCCAGAAAGAGGGATAGCATTTCGTCACCCATACAAGCCGAATTACTACCTAGTGTGAAGTCAGTCTTGGAGTACCTTCTGTCATGGGGCTGGCGCCCAGTACTGGCATCTGGCATATCGTTGGCCAGACGACTGACGCCCCTATTCCATCCACCAAACCAGTAATCCGTGAGGGACGACAGCGAGGGAGAGAATGGTGAGGAGTAGAGTGTTTTTGGTTTCCCCTTTTCTTTTGTCTTTTATTTGTCTTTACGGATTTCGCCACATCGCTGGCTCGTCCACGGGGCGATTGATGGAGGTGCTGGGCCGTGTTTACGCTATGGGCAGCACGTGAGATACACTGGCTATAGGCCTCGGTTTGCCCTCGGATTACTGGTTTGGTGGAGGGAATAGGGACACTGGGCGCCACAGGGCGTGTCAGGCAATTGCTCTTATCTTTGTACACTAGATTCACCGCTGTGGCACGTCTCATGCCCTACGGGAGGCGGAAGTAGACGTTAAAAATAACAACAACAACAACAACAACAAGAAAAATCCATCTATTCTTATGCATCTATCCGTCTCCTTCGAGCTCCCAAAGACTGGAAGAGATAAGAGGGCAACCCCCTACGGCACCTGTCCGCTCAAAGCCTCCCGAACCTTATCCTTGCTTCCCTTGCCTTCAGCCCCCTATCTTCTTCCTCCCTCTTCCTCCCTCTTCCTCTAACTTGCTCTTCCTTTAACTTGCTCTTCCTCTCTCTATCTTCCCTCATCTATTATCATGGCACCTTGTCAGCTGGCCTGTATGTACAAACTGCGGGATCGAATCAATCAACTGGATTCAATCCCAACCAGGTACCGCAGGCTATTGGAGCATCGTCTGGTTATTGCGTACAGTGAATTCAAGCGCCAGAACACGAGAGACTGACAGCCTCGCAAAGTCATTCGGCGTTGGTCCCGACTACTCCTTCTCCTCATTTTCACTGCCAATGCTCGCCAAAGCCAGGCAATGGCGGCTATCAAAAGCTTATTTCACTGCCTCAGAAAGGCGCAACACATTCTCTTCTCTCTCGTTGGATTGGCGACGTCCTTTACATCAAGCCTGATGTCAGCGTGCCACATCGACTTTTCGTCTTTCAAAGGCAACCAGAGGGTTCACTTCGGGTAGCGTTTGTTTTGATATCAAGGCTTCCAGCCTCGCTTCGAGCCAAGCCCCATGCAAGTATGCCAGGGGGGCGGGGGTGCTGACACGGGCCCCCACCCAGGCTTAAAGCCATCCCACCCTAGCTGCCGGCTTCTGATCCTAGAGCTGTGGTTGGCTTGTCGCTCTCAACGTCGCCGTCACCTTGTTTCGCAGCCCTGGCATGCAGCTCTCTCAGCCAATCGACTCGTCTACAAAGGTGTTGGCAACTGCGCCGGCAGTGTGTTGCAAGCCAACCACCATGGTTATGACATGCCAGGATGGAAGGGAAGAGGTGGGCTAATGCAGACAAATAAAGAAGGCAGGTTAAGGCAGGCAGATGAAGAAGGTAGGTTAAGGCAAATACATAAAGGAGGTCCATCGTGATCAGTTTATCGTAATAGATCACCAAACCGTAATCCAACAAGACAAGAGCGAGAAATTCCCTTACCACGCTCTCATCAGACTCGGCAACTAACTGCATACACATAACTGGGCCGAGGAGTACTGGGAACCAATCAGGAATGGTCTTCTGACCGAGTGCAATCTTGGTGTTACCCCTGTAGAAAATCTAGCTGCAGTGTCAGGACGGAGACGTGCATTACTTTTTAATGATACACCAAAAAAAAAAAAGGACACCAATCTTTGTGCTACCAAGGATCTAAGCGTTGGTGGGCTCCCGGACCGGAACAATCTTATTTTACTCTGTCAACTCAATCACCCCATACCAAGAGCGGTACACAAAGCCATAGGGGCGCATATCATGGTGCCAATGCGCTCGACTCACATGGAGGCGTCCTCCAGTTCTCGGTAGTGTTTCTCTTCCCTTCTCGTTCCCATTGATTCTTTCGTTTCATCATCTTGTTTTGCACAACGGAGGAGGTCATACGCAATCGTCTCCAATCCGTTATCTCCATCCTCGACGATGTGTGTAAGATTTTGGGTGCTCCGTCAGCATTCGTGGGTATACTCCACGACAATAAGATCATCTTCACCAAGGGCCACGGAACAGTTGTCGGCAACCAGCCTAACCTTAAACCACGTCATCCTGGTCCCGATACAGTTTACGGCATAGGGTCCATGACAAAGAGCTTCGTGGTTGCGTGTCTTGCAAAGGTCCGTTGGGAGGGCAAGAAAGCCGAGTTTGAATGGAGCACACCGATGAAGGATCTGATTGATGGTTTCAACACCGATGACAGAATACAGCACTTGGTCACTCTTTCCGATTTCCTCTCTCACCGAACTGGGCTCAACGGAGATATGTCTATCGCCCATCAGGGAGACCAAGAGTTCCTCCTTGTTACGATCCAATCAGAAACCCCTTATGTAAGCTAAATGGATTAACCAATAAAAGGCAGCCCGAACCTAGGTCCCGAAGTCCCGAGAATACGGGACTACGGGACACCGCCCCCACGGTCCCGGGGTCCCGAGATCGCGGGACTACGGGACGAGTTCGAAGGCCAGTATATAAGAAGGCCGCTTCCCGGCCTTCGTTATTCTGGCTCTTCAGCAAGCAATAGCTTCTACAATTGATCAGTACCTTTCGGCTACTACTACCGTTGTTCTTATCATCCCAGCGATATACTCCTGTGCTTGTAACGGTTCGTCACACTCCTCCAAAAGGATGAAGTTCTGCCAGCGGTGACGATCCTCGACAAAGTCGGACAATTTCGAAGTGATTGGATCTACAATAACTGGGGTTACAGTCTCGCCGGCAAAGTTTTAGAGAAATGCTCGAGGAAGTCGTTTGAAGATTGCCTGCGAGAGTATGTGCTCGTCCCGTTATCACTTCACAACACAACAACAAGTCCAGACCCAAACGGCGATTTTGCGTTTGCTCATGCAGCACTGGACAACGGCGACATCTATCAACTGCCAAAGAAGATCCCTTTTGAGAAAAGCATATTCGAAACTGCTGGGGGCATCTACTCGAGCGTCAACGACCTTCTTGCATGGGCGAAGGCGATTCTTGCTGCTGAACAGAGGTCATACTCCGGTCCTCTTGAGGAAGTCCCAACAATCTTGAGCAACCAAGTGCCTCTGGATAATCCGTCCAGAGATCATCGCTTCTACGGGTTCGGATGGGTTCGGACGGCACTTCCAAACGTTGTGGGCCTTCAGGGAGACAACGCAGAACTGTTCAAGAGGGACCAGCTTCCAGTACTCGGATCAAAATCTCAACCAATGATGACCACCACCAAGGCGCCGGGCTTGGGTACTATTCCGCAATGTTCATGTTTCCTGAATCCAATTCCGCTGTGGTGGTTCTGACGAATTCGATGCCACTCAACGACGTTGCGGACTGGATCGCTCAAATATACATCACCGCGCTATTCCAATTTGAAGATGGAGGGAAAACGTACCTTGACCTGGCAAAGAAGTACGTTGAATTAGCGAAGGAAAATCGGGATCAGAAACTCAGGCTTGTGAAAACAATGAGAACGGGCATTGACAGCGAGCGCAACACGAACTACTTTCATCCGCGACAATTGGACTTATACACCGGGAGATATTACAACTCGAAGGGTAGCTGGCCAGGGAATTTTTTCATCGACATCCGTTGTCCGAAGGATCAGGGGGAAAAGGACGATTGTTTGGAGCTCAGGTTCCAAGGACGGGAATCACAACTCTATAAGCTCCGTCACCTCAAGGATGACATCTTTGAGTGGGCACTAGACTACAACCAGCAAGCACGGCGAGCACGATTCACGGTATGGGACCCGGAGTATTTCAAGATCCAGTTCAGCTTCAACCCAAAGCGGTCTCATGAGGCTGTTACATCTCCCACGAAACCTTCCAAAGCTCTCAAATGGAGTCATACCGTCCCTCCAAGCAACACTTCGCAGGGTTGTCAAGAAGAGCTGGCGCTTGTTCTCGAGAGGTTCACGGAAGTTCCCGAGATATTTACCCGAAAAGGCACACTTCTCTCGTTCAGGGGCGGTGACATGCTAGTCGGCTGGGAGGTATACATGCACTACAAGCAATGGAATCTCAGTGTATTCCGCCACGAAAGACACTCTACGCCTTTTCGCAAGGCTTCCCAAGCGTAACTTGATGTTAAAAACCTGCTAATGACAGACGTCATCCATCAAATGACCGGCAGGCCGGTTTGCTTCAGACCCTTGCTTATTTCTGATAGTCGAAAATGTGGTGTAGAGACGCGGAGTTTATTGCAACTTTCAGTTGAATGCATGTGGCGTATCAGTGCGCACAAATTCGGTTGTCTCTTCCAATAACACTTCCGAGTCTCAAACAACTCGCTTTCACCCCTACCACCCCTCTGCATGCTTTGCCCGTTCGAGGGAAAAGGCTCCAAGCACTGAGCCGCATCGATGTGTCTATTCAATATTCAATATTTCCGAACGGTGGGAGGTGGAAAAAAGAGAACGAGGGATTGTATGATCGGATGAGTAGGATTCTTGGGGAAGCCCGAGAGGATCCAGAGGTATTACGGAGAGATAGCTTCGCGAATTAGTGTAATCAGCAGAGAGAATTATATACAGTGATCTGTGTGCACGGCTTCCAGCTCCTCCCCACTTGCCCAGCTCAACCAAAAGGCCGATTGGAGTGGCATACAAACAGCCAAGTCATTCAAGAAATGGGGCCGGGTTTTGACGTCTAATGCCCACGGGCGAAGTATTTGATACTTAGGTACACATAGAATATACGTCTTGCTCTCTCTATTTCCATCCACGAAACGTATCTTAGACATTAGAAACGGCGTATATCCAATCTATATAATTAAATGGAGGTTTGTTTATCAACTCTGTCCTCCGGGACGAAATGTTTCGTCGCCTTGAGAAGGGATCCTTGGATGTTCGCAACATTTACATCCCGTTCCCATTCTCAGAACAATGACCTGACAGCTAGCCACCGGCTCGACGGGAGCCGGTACACTCGCAAGTTACCTATTCTTGACCTCCGCACTAAATCTCAGGTACACATACATATCCTCAGTCAGCGCCCTCTGTCCCGCATACCGTATTCTGACACCTCAGCTGCTTTCTTCAGCTGGCCATCGGAGTTGGGGCGCCCACTGCCCGGGAACCTGGAAGTTACGGCTGTCCAATCTATTATTATATAAGCCTAGCTACTCCATTCCGACACAGTAGCCAAGGACGACAGCGTGTCAGGATGCTCAGGCCCAAGGACTCGCTGCCGAGCCTCAACACAGTCTTGCATCAACGCTAGGGCATCTTCATGTCGACCTTGACTATTCCACGTGAAAGCAAGATTGGCCATGCTCGTCAGCGTGTCTGGGTGGTCAGCCCCGAGCTTCGTCTTGCTCGTCTCCATCACCTGCACCTCCAGCTTCTCGGCCTCCTCCCACCGGCCCTGATTCCTGTACGTCGACGCCAGGTTGCCCATGCTCGTCAGCGTGTGTGGGTGGTCGGCCCCGAGCTTCGTCTTGCTCGTCTCCATCACCTGCACCTCCAGCTTCTCGGCCTCCTCCCACCGGCCTTGGTTGCCGTACGTCGACGCCAGGTTGCCCATGCTCATCAGCGTGTCTGGGTGGTCGGCCCCGAGCTTCGTCTTGCTCGTCTCCATCACCTGCACCTCCAGCTTCTCGGCCTCGTCCCACCGGCCTTGGTTCCTATACGTCGACGCCAGGTTGCCCATGCTCGTCAGCGTCGAGGGATGATCGGCCCCGAGCTTCGCCTTGCTCGTCTCCATCACCTGCACAAACAGCTTCTCGGCCTCCCCCCACCGGCCATGGTTCCAAAGCGTCGACGCCAGGTTGCCCATGCTCGTCAGCGTGGCTGGGTGGTCGGCCCCGAGCTTCGTCTTGCGAGTCTCCATCACCTGCACCTCCAGCTTCTCGGCCTCCTCCCACCGGCCCTGGTTCCAAAGAATCGACGCCAGGTTGCCCATGCTCGTCAGCATGTGTGGGTGGTCGGCCCCGAGCTTCGTCTTGCGAGTCTCCATCACCTGCACAAATAGCTCCTCGGCCTCCTCCCACCGGCCCTGGTTCATGTACGTCAACGCCAGGTTGCCCATGCTCGTCAGCGTGGCTGGGTGGTCGGCCCCGAGCTTCGCCTTGCGAGTCTCCATCACCTGCACAAACAGCTTCTCGGCCTCCTTCCATAGTCCTCTATCTCGAAATACTAATGCAAGCAATGACGTGCTCGAGAGAGTCGCCACATCGTCCTTTCCCAACCTCCTCTCGCGTACCTCCCTCGCCTTGCCCAGCATCTGCTGTGCATCTTCATATCTCCCTTGCGACCACGCGTACCATCCCCCGTTGTGCAAAAGAATCGCCCATGACTCGACCGTATTCTCGCTAGGTCGATAATCCGAGGCCACTCGGGCGTGCGCAAAGAGGGTCCGACACATGGCCCAGTTCTCGAACTGGCCCGTTGGGAATGAAGCTGCCATCCGCTCAATGTACTGCTGCCTGAACGTCTCCTGCTGCCCAGACGCTTTTAGCCACCTCCTAGTCGACAGCTGCACGAGCCCGTGCATCTCAAACTTGTCCTCTGTCTCGTCCGCGGTGATGAGACAGTAGTCCCTTAGCATCGCCGCATCATCTTCGAAGCTAGCATCGTCTGTGTCACTGTCCGTGCTCTGGCTGCTATCGTCCGACTCTAGGTCTGCGGCATCGTCTAGACCTATTGCTTGCATTCCGTCCTGGGCAATTCTCGAAGGGTTTAGCACCCATCCAGGGATGCCTTGTCGGTCAAAGAAGCTCATAAGCGACAGCAGATTCGCCGCAGAGCGCCGCTTGGACCGGATGTGGTCAAAGGATATCTGCCACGTCGTAAGTATCGCGTTAGACGCCCCTCCGTCCCGCCGCAGGTCCCCACCATCATATTGCAGAAGCTTGCTCCGATTCCGCTCGCTCTCTCGGAACTCGGCTAGGTACTTCTCGGGCGAGCTCCGCGGCACCCTGGCCTGTATGTACGCGGCAGCTTGGCTGATGGCAAGCGGCACAAGGTCGAGCGCCCGCACGAGATCCACCGCCATATCAGTATCCGAGAGCGATCCCAGCTTCTTCTCTAGGAGCGCGAGGGCGTCTGTCTGCGCCATCGGCCCGATTTCGATCATGTTCTGGCGCCGCCCGGTCAGCCGGAAAGCCAGGTCCTTATCGCGGGTTGTGACGATGATCGACCCGTTTCGACTCTGTGGGAGGGAGTTCGCAAATGGCTGCCCGTTGCGTGTACCATTACTCGTCGTCCCGTAAAATACGTCGCGGTCGTCGGCACTGTCAAGGACCATAACCCACTTGCCGTTCCGTTCGTTGCACAGCCAGCCGTAGACAAGCTGTGGGATGTTGGCCTTGGGGTGGTTCCGGCCGGGCAGCTTGGCGACGTCGGCAATCGCCCGGAAGCCCTCATCGACCCGCGCCTGCGTGCCGGCATGGACCCAGAACACCCACGTGTCTGGGTGCCGCGCGGCGATCCGGTGGGCGAACTCAATGGCCAGCTGCGACTTGCCGACACCGCCCAGGCCTACGAGCGCAACCCGAGCAGCTGGCTCCGAACATCGTTGGTCGATCTGGTCGAGAATGTCTCCACGGTCGACAAAATCGGGGTCACGGGAGAAAGGAATGGTCGCGAACGGCGGCGGCGGCGTTTCCAGTCGCTCTAAGAACATCAGCGGGGTGTCACTAGGCTCGAGCGGTGCTAATCTTACCCGGCGGCAGGTGGAATTCCGCGTTGATCGGTGCGTAGCTCTGCCCCACCTGGAGACCCTGGTTCAGCGGTCCAAAAGATGCGGATGGAATTTGCGCCATCGCTGGTGTGAGGGTTACTCCTCCAGCCGGCTGATTGATCTGGCCACCGCCCGGGCCTGCATCCCTAGAGGTAGCAGAGGCGACATACCTCTCCATAACCGCCTTCGCTACCGACGCCGCGGTTGCCGCAGCATAATTCTGCCATCCTTTGTTTTTGTGGCTATCGGCATAGTCACACACGCCTTTAATCACAATGCATGGCACCTCATCCCATACGCCTGCTCCTTCCATCTCGAAAGCAATAACCCCGGCCTGCTTGGCGATCTGATCACGGTGCTCGCCAGACCGAATAACGCTGTCTCCAGATCCAATCGCACCAATGAAGAAGAAGACACCCTCGGAATCCGAGTCGGCATTGGGGTCGTTTGAGGCTGACTCCAAGTGCTCCCTCCGTATCACGCAGCTCGTATCACATTCCAGCTCTTTGCATGACAACGTAAGAGACTCATCGCAAGCGGGATCCGCGTTGCCATGACAGTCTTCGCACGTTCTGCACCCGGAACCAGGAGCATGCTTGTGTCGGTAGCAGGCATGGAACAGGAGGTCGTTGGCTGATCCTGGGTACTTGTAGCTGGTATGCTTGCCTCTTCGCTTCCGTTTGGCTTTTTCTTCGCTCTTTGTCTGAAGAGCTTTGAGGAAGTCACCCGCCCATTTCTCGATATGTTCGCGGTCGATGTCCGTATCAAGCTTGACCAGGATGTTGCGAATAATCTTGTTTGGTCTTCCAAGACTGTCATGGGCGGTGTCTTTGCGAACGAAGCGATCCGGAAGCGCTCTTCCAAGGTCATACTGGACCACGAGGTTGCTTATAATCACGTCGCCGAGGACAATGGGGTCCCTTTCCGGTCCTGCGAATGGGACCGCCCCGCAAATGCCCACCAAAAGGGCCAGCGACACTCGCGGATAGCTCGATCGAAGACTTGCAGCTGCGCTGGCGGCGCTCGCTTTTCCCATGTTGGGCAGAAGGACAAGGACGACATTGCACTTCCCCATCCGACCTGTCGTGTATATGTTCGGGTCTCCTTCGACTTTGCCGTACTGATCGCCGTCTTCGTCCCACAGCTCATCGATAAGGAGGCATACGGCGTCGAATTCGAGACGGAGCGCGCATATTATCGCAACTTCGAAGTCGCTGCGCCCGTTGGGACGTTGACTCGATGATGCATCCATGGGCTGCTATTACTGCGTTCTTTGCACGAGACATGGTGAGAACATTCACCGATGGAATGAACATCGTTTTGAATCAGTCGTTCTCCATCTATGGCTAATTCTCATTCAAGTGTACTGGCCAATTACGTGGTTTGCTAGGTGTGCTAACCATGTTGAGGCGTTAGTTTGAAGGCCTTTTTCAAGATATGATTGGCCGCACAGCGCGGGGATAAATCCCGTTTCAGTGGAAACGTGCGGTAGCTTATCACAAAGTTGGGCTGCGGCTGTGTCTTAGGCGCTTAACGACGGCAAGTCATGGGGCCTGGTTTTGATGCCTAATACACCTTGGAACGCACGTTTTACTCTCTCCTTTCTTATCTAAGAACGTATCTTGCATATTATTAACGGTGCTACGTCCAATATATACCTGATTTGTCCTACTCTTCAGGCATTCTGTCGGCGGCGATTTCCTCTCATGCCTACTGTGTTTAGTTCTTAGATTACAAATTACTATGGCGAATACGATCTATAATTGCGCAATTAGCGGAGAAAGCTTCGTGGTCGGGCCTCAGGTCAGTCACGGCGGTATTATGAACATCCACTTTGCTAATAGAACCGGTCGAAGGAAGAGGATATTCATAGGAAGACAGGGGGTTGAAGGCAGGGGAAGAAAGTTGTCCGTCAGCCTTTTTAGTGGTGTTGGAGGCTGCCGGCTTCTGATCCTAGAGCTGTGGTTGCCTTGTCGCTCTCAACGCCGCCGTCACCCTGTTTCGCAGCCCTGGCATGCAGCTCTCTCAGCCAATCGACTCGTCTACAAAGGTGTTGGCGGCTGCGCCGGCAGTGTGTTGCAAGCCACCCACCATGGTTATGACATGCCAGGATGGAAGGGAAGAGGTGGGCTAATGCAGGCAGATGAAGAAGGTAGGTTAAGGCAGGTACATGAAGGAGGTCTATCGTGATCAGTTTGTCGTAGTGGATCACCAAACCGTGATCCAACAAGACAAGAGCGAGAGATTCCCTTGCCACGCTCTCATCAGACTCGGCGACTAACTGCATACACATAACTAGGCCGAGGAGTACTAGGAACCAATCAGGAATGGTCTTCTGACCGAGCGCAATCTTGGTGTTACCCGTGTAAAAGAGCTAGCCGCAGTGTCAGGACGGTCAACTTTTCTCGTAATCCGCCCAATTATATTCATCTTTTTAGCGCCGCCTCCCCACTTACCGTCTTGCCTCCGTCCGAACGATATGGATATGGGAGGTGGTGGTTCAGTTTTTTGACCCTACCACGTGATTAAAAGACCCGTTTCATATCCTTCCCACTCCCATAGACAAGCAGACATATCGGAATATTATCTATGGGAGGAGTTTTTGACAGGGGTTTGGATGACTCAGCCAAAAACGCCGCCGCCGTTTCTAGAACCGTTTTCATTGCCTTCGCTCTCGCCAAGCCCAGCTGAGGCTATGAGGTGGACTAGGCATACACTACGCAAGGTACTTACCCCTGCCATTTACCCCTGACACCTACTCCATATACTTAGTACATCTAACTGGGAGGTGTGGTTGGCTTTTGGGAAGTGTGGTTGGCTTTGGTGAACAGTTTTCGTACGTATATCCCTTCAGGCGAGTCAGAAGGGCCTCAAGATATATATTGCGTCTTTACCCTCAGATTCCCGACTGAACCAAACAAGCAAACTTCTGTCCCATTTTAATTGCATTCATTGTATATCAATTCTTCCCAGTTGAATCTACCGCATGAATTACGGCCCCTACGTTGCGAGGGTTGCGTTAGTTTTCATATGAAACCCTCCTTCCGAGTTTTCTCATTGATTTCTCCTCTAAAACATGCTGAGCTCGTAAGCCATTGCAGCTTGAGAGGGTATTGTTTGAGTCTCACGGTGCCGATCGCACTCCATCCATATGCAATACGGAAGGGATGGAGCTACGAAAACCGCCGATACCGCCGACTGTACCCGACGTCGAAGAACGGAAAAGAAGAGCATTTGCCGACGTCGACGAATTACGGTAACAACACATGAGCGTTCGCTTTGTAAGAAGACCAAAGCCGAGCGGGGACGCGCGTGGTGTCTATGGAATAGGTATGTACCTTATCATTTTGCTGTTTTCTTTGATATTGCGTACTAATGCTTTTTAGATTTGTCACAGATGTGTTACAATTAACACAAAAGGAGGCTGATAAGGTTTGGTTTGGTGTGTGTCAAAACAAGAAAAAGTCCATTGCTATCTGCAAGAGCTTTCTGGCCGACTATACACGCTATGCAAGATGCAGGCGTCTGTATATAGACGGGACCGAGGAACAGAAGCAGATACCAACAGTTCAATCAGTAGTGACTATTATTGCTGTGTGGAAGCATATAGTAGCTCAAGCTGATGCTGTAGTGCTCGCGAAGAGAAGGGATCAAGATTCAAATGAAGATTCAGACGAAGATTCCGAACAATGGACATTGCTTGGCAACCGTGGGAAGGCCCGTGGAGAGGTTATCCAGGTAGATTCTCTCCTTACCCATACCGATACTGTGTACTGACATTTCTTCTCACAGTGAATCCAATCAACTCTTGCACAAAAGTTCAACCTCTCATGCGAACAAACATTTGAGAAAACCGAAGCCACAACAGACGATGTTCTGCTTATTCTTAGCACTTTGTGGGAACGCGCAGTCGATATACCTTGTGATCCTAGACATCGGCTTGCCTTTCATACATTGGTGCTTATAGGAAGCATTGGCTTTCGGCCCGGCACTCATGAGAACATGCTTTATCGACAAGTCAAGCTACTTGTCGTTCGCGATCCGGATACAAAGCAGCCAAGGCTTGTTGCTGAGATCACGATCAATCAAAACAAGCTATCGGCTAACAAAATTGATAAGGGGGCAGATGTGTATGTATTCTTGCCTTTAACCGTTGATTCAAACTAACACTTTTCTAGGGTGACCTTTTCTGCTACTATGGTACCATGCCAGATCGTTTGTTTAGTCACGTTTGTAGTTATTCAAGCTCTACATGATAATGCCTTCGAAACAGAGTTTTCGTCCTTCGACGAATTACTTCAGCGTCCAAACTTGGAAGATGTTGATTGCATTGAACTTAGGTGGAAGGATGGGATGCTCTTGGACTCGTGGGCACAAGAAGTGTGTTGATTGTCCTAAGCTAGAGAAGAAAGGGAAAAGAAATGTGGAGGGCTAAAATACATGGTGGTGTGGGCTGGCTGGGCCCATGTGACAATGCCAGTGAAGGGGAGTGGGACAGACCCCACTACAATTATAGACGGCCTGTCGAACGCAATCTCCCAATACACAGTCGAGACGGCCACATTTACTTCAGCCTCCGAATTGCGAAAACCCACTGAAGAACTTATTAACAATCTCCAAAACATCATATCGAATGCAGAATTAACGCTAAACCTAAGAAACACCGGTGTAATAATAACACCGATCAACTCGCCCCTTCCACCACTCCAAAGCAACCATCTGGAAACGAATACTTCCCTATCCCCTTTACAGCTTGGAAGTGACTGGATTCCCGAGCTCAAAGAACGATGCCGACCTTCCACAATTTCCATCATCAAGGCCGATATCGAAAAAACCAGGATTGACTAGCTTGGGCTAGCATCACGTGCTGATCCCCCGCCTGGTCATAATCAATACGCAATCTATTATGTTAAGGACCCTCATACTACAGAAATTACCTACCTCTACCTTTCAAAATCGAAAAAATTACACCATATCGATTTCACAAACAACAAGAAATTGCAATCTCCATCGTCTAAGGAGGCTGCTATAGATTTTACGAAATCTACTACCACTACTCCCTCCAGCGGGGACCGTATCTACTACGTTGGACCTGTCAATGATAAGAAACTTCCAAAACTCTTCCCGTCCGGGAAACTCTTTCGGGAATACAGCCCAATCGATGGGGTTAGTACCCCATATATCCATATAGGCGAAGCAAAATCAGGCACAGCTTTCCACTGCGAAGACGCCCACTTACGTTCTTACAACCTCACCATCTATGGATACAAAATCTGGATTCTGGTCGATCCCAAAGACACAACAAAGTTCGACGAGTATTTTGACACCCGCTACACCGATCGCAAGAAATCGAAATGTGATCAAAGGGTTCGACACCAATGTTGTATACTCGCCCCTAGCCTTCTGGTTAGCCTAGGAATCAATTTCGACATTGGACGGGTCCTGGGGATCTGATTGTCACAGAACCACGACAATACCACGCGGTCATCAATTTTACCGATTCTCTTGCTATTTCAACGAATTTTGTTTACGAAGACGATATACCGATCAGACCGAACTGGCTTGTTTGCCCGAAGGATGGGTTGTTTCTACTCGATGAACCAAATCTTCGAAAATTTAAACAATCACCTAAAACCAAGAGGAAAGCCGAGGTCGAATTAGTAAGGTCTGAAAAAGCGAAACGGATCAGACGTCTCCTAGAAAGCAAGAATGGCGATAGGATGGATGTTGATAACGAAGACACTCAAAGTCTCGAACAACGTCTGATGATAGCAAACCACCAAAGGATTCCAAATATAAGGTAAGATGCCTAGACGATACTATCACATACGACCATACCCACTGGAAAACTCGGGATCCCGTCCGCTCTCCCATAGATAAGCCAGTGAAGGCCAGACTAGTAGTTGGGTCGGTGACGACCAGCGAATCCCTGGTGTTGTATGTTTTTTTTTCTTTTCTCCCGTCTCTTTTCCATCACATCATCATTTCCCCGGTTGAACCTAATTTCTTTCTTGTTTTCTCCTATCAATGTTTCCTTTCAAGTGGGGTTTTTTTTTTTTTTTTTTCCCCAAATTCCCCAACATTCATCCAACTAGACATCGTTGCCGGCGGAGTGTCAACAGCGTTCCTTCCGGTAACAGTAATAAGGGACCGGCGGCAAAGTGCAGCTGCTCGCCAGCCACTAATCAGGGAGATTTTCTATCCCTGACGAATACTCCAGTGTTTATTCACATTGCATACCACCAGGGGCTGCATCCAACAATTTGCTGTGTCGCTTGTTCATGCTCTCAATCCATACGCCCAGATGAAACAGTCGGGTATGCAGCATGAACAGGAGAGGAGAGCAAATCACCGAGTTCGGTCGCTAGACTGGAAGTTAGAAAGTCATGTGTCGGATAGATAGGTAACACCCCGTGATATCGAGAACCGGATCTCGCAACAGCCATGTGAACAGTTGCTTCATCTTGATCGAGGATCCTGCTTGGCTTCGCCACCAAGCCAGCACAAGTATGGCAGGGGATTTGTTGAATCCATCGATCTCCGATTGAGCCCCCAAACTTGTTGACATGCCACAACCTACACCTTAATTTGTCGAATGTCAAGAGTCAAGAGGCGACATGCAACTCCTACCCAAGAGCAACAAGCTCCCTTCTCAGCCTACTTCTTCGCCACGCCTGCGCGTCAATCTGCCAAATATTGACCCTGTACACGATTCCTTCCCGCCTCTCGACCTGGAGAACAAGACAAATGTAGGTGAAACGACGGAGGGCGATGAACTCGGCTCGCTGATTGTTGTTGCTGGTGCTCGTGCTGGTGCCCTTGGCATCCCTTGCTGAAGAGCTGTCCCGACCAAAGTCGTCCTCCTCATCTGCATCATCGTCAACTGCCCCAACTGCCCCTGGTAACGGTCCCACATCCCCACAGTATTCGCCCTTCTCGTCGTAGATTGGTCTACCGCGATCTGAGGAATGGTTCGACTTTGATAGAGGTGAGAGAAAGAAGTGGGCGGTTTCGGCCCAGAAGAAGAGGATTTGATCGTCGGGGATGAGGGAGAGTCGGTCGAAGGTAAGGTCTGGTAATTCTGTGACGATCATGTCGAGGGTTACTAGCGATGCGTCTGGATCGTCGTTTTGTTTGTGGCTGGTTGGTGCATGTGTATCTGCCTCTGGTGTGAGAGTTGACGTCCTGACGAGCTCGAGAGGCGTGTTTTTGAGTACATAGGCGACGATGGGCGTCTCGATATCTTCGGGCCTTGTGTTTTGACTGTCAGCTCTGCAAGATACAAACCTTCTGAATGGGTGTGAGTGGTTGTTTATGATATACCTTGGTGAAACCAACACTTGGGAATAATCCAAATCCGGCAAATCAATCGGCCCTCTCCACCCCAGCCACGACCAGCTCGGGAACGGTACCCTCTGCTGCAAAGAGGTAGTGGGCAAGGTCGTATACTCCTGGCGCCGTCTAAGCGGTTTCCCTGCATGCGGATCTAATTCGGAGGGCTTGGTGGTGTAATGCCAACACAAAGCAAGCTCAAAGCGAGCATCAGCAGGTAGACCCCATAGGAACTGTACGCCCGTTTGGATGGTGTACTCTCTGAGGATGGCGGAGGCGGCGTCGTGGGCATCTCCTTGTACGATAAGATCCCGACGTGCAAATTCGGATATCAAGGAGGATAAGTTTTGCCATGGGGATGCTGTGATCTCTGCTTGACCGATGCGTGATGGGTTGGGTTCCATAAAGGGGTCGAGGTCGAGGCTGCGACCTCCGGTTCCCTCGTATCGGAGAGAGCAAGATAAGTCGCTGGCAGTTTCTGTGTCAATCTCCTCCCACTTTTTGCACTGTCGACATCTCCATAGCAATCGCTTGTCGGTGAAGGTGAGGACGCGTCGGGACAAGACTTTTTCTTGCAGTGTCCATCCATGGGTAGACCAAGCATACTCTCTCATCTTGTCCCGCGGTGCTAGTGTCGAAATGAGCCATATGGGCGCCAGTTCTGGACTCTCTGCTTTCTTCACCAACACTTTTTGTTGAACGGCTTCCCTGGGTATGCTGATGCCTGGAAGTCCTGCTTGTGCGTTGTTGCCAGCAGCAGCCACGATTGTGAAGAGGGCATACTGATAGATCTCAGCCATAAGCTGGAGCTGGGCGGCTTTGTCATTTTCGTCGTCCTGGATGATGCAGAAAGCGTCCACCCAGAGGTAGCGGATGCCCATGTCAGAGGTAAATTTGATCGCATCCAAGACTGTCTGCGGTCCAGCTACTGGTAATGAACCAGTCAACTGTAGCTGCGTGACAGTGTCATGCCTCGGGGTAATTTTGTGCCCGTTACCCCATACACAGCTTAGGGCTACGTACTGGATATCCCCAAGACGATGGCCTCTGAACTCAACAACTGCTTTGGTGCTCGTATCGATAAGGCGAAAGGTAGAAGCCGTTCTGTTTTGCCTCCTATTCAGAGGACAAATATCCTTGTGGTCTTCCAAACAGCTACGTAGCCACCGCCGCGGCAGGTCTGGGTCAATGATGACCGGTCTCTCGCGCCCACTGAAGAGGCTACGAGGTCTGTTGATGCTGGTGTCTCCGATAATCTCATCCTCTGCCGGATCCAGAGTCTGAAAGCAGTCGAATAGAGTGAGACTCGGCTGTCACGTAACAGCAGTCACTGGTGCGTTCCACGTCAAGGATATCCTTCCGAAGAAAACCAAGAGTGCAACGGGGTAAGACTGTCCAGATCGCAGCCCTTTTGCTGTTAACCATCCTAATATCTTGTCGTTACCAGCGGATTTCGGTACCTCGATCGCAGGTCCATCCACCGGGTCGCAATAAATGCTCAACGAGCAATCTGGGTCACCCTCGAAGAACTCATGATGGGGTGTATAGAGTCCCGCAGTTCTGACCAAGCTTGAGATAGCTTGACACATGGGACAGCTGGCTGCGGAACTGTCGATGCGACTTTGCTTTCCGAGCTTTTGGTCTCGTGTCACACGGACATCCGCCGGCGACATTCATTAACACCCTAGGGTTAGGGTATTGAGGCTTTGTGACCTCAAGCAACAAGGCTCAGCCTCACCCAGTCCAACCCCTTGTCATCAGCATCACATAACCGAACCCTTTTGACAACGCCACCTGGGTATTGAGCCAACCCTCGAACTCCCGACTGAAACTACCGACAGCACCAAGCCCCCTCACAAAGCAACCATAGCCAACCAAGCAGAAGCAGGGCGACCGGACGAAGGACGGCCCCCAGAAGGAAGAAGGAGAATGGTGGAAAACATTCAGAAGGTCCACTTGTATGCAGATGAACTAGATAGACTCGCACCGATGCCTTGTGGCCTTAGGCACACGAGACCCGGTACGTACCGACCTTCTTTGGTATAAGAAGGCCTTGAAGCCCGAACCTCCCCATAAGGGTTGAAAGGGTCAACAAGGCCTTCGAGACCAAAGAAGTTTATCAGCTGAAATTGAACATCTTTGTTCCAAGCCCAAAAAAAACTCTGCTCTTGTCACAGATAACTATTTTAATACGTCCAACGTTGGTACGTAGGTAGCGATTAGTATCGTTAAACAATATATAGGTAATATGGACTGCTTTCGCCTCAAAGAACAACTGATGGAGGCTGGAAGGCGACAACGAAAAGGGCTTGATTGTAGTTGTCTAACGGAAGAGGAGAAACGGAAACCAGGGCAGCCTAAATACCTGGAAGGGAGTGCCGGTAATGGAACGGCCCAGTGAATGGGCAAAGCCGGTGAATGGGCGGCCCAGGCCTGAAACCACTGTACACAGGCTTAATGACCTTGACCCTGACGGCCTCCGGCGAACCGATCCCGAAAAGCATTCATAGCAGCGTCTCCGCCCATCATCCCCATGCTACCCCCGCTCGGGGGGTTCCCATGAAGGGCTCTTGTAATTGCAGAAACAGGCTCTTCTCTAGCCTCCTTATAGCCCACCATCACATAAGTTGGGCTCGGTTTGGGTACGCCATCGAGGCTTGGCCATCTCATTTCCTCTAAAAGTGCTTTAATACAACGAGTCTGTATCTCAAGCCAGTCATCATCCATATGCTCGAAACCCGCTTGTCGACAGAATTCAACCAAAGAGTTCACTATCTCGTCCTCCACTTCGTAGATACGCAGCAAAGGAGCCACCACACTTATCCACATTTTTAAATGCCATTCGAGCCATTTGTCGCGTTGACCAGACGTACCAAGCACTTCGCCACATGATTTGAAGCAAGAGTTGATGGTTTCGCTGTTTAGCTTGGACAAAACCCCCAACGCGTAGCCTATCCATTTGCCGGGGTCGTGGCGCCCCAAGTTGTTCAGGTGCTCTATCCAATCCACTTGGCTGGAGGTGGGCTCGTTGTCCTCCGGCTCCCCCTCCTCCGGCTCTTCACATATAATTTCAAAAACAGTTTTGTACCACTCCGGAGCCTTTCTGTAGTGTTGTCCGTTACTCATTGCGTCGAGAGCTTCTTTCCGAAGCACGGCGGGGTCTGAGGGCGGGTCTGGGGCGTCCGGACCAACCTGCGTGGGCGCATTTGGGTCGTCCATCTCCCAGCCCTCGTCGTTGCGTCCAGGCATTGTGTGAAAAGAAGCTGACTTCCAACTGGAAAAGATTGTTTGTGAGTTTGAGTGATTGCTGGTGTCGAATATCTGATGAGCTGGTGTATGGACCTCTTGCTGATGTGCTGATGAGTGATGTTGGTCTGGTGCTCTTCGTTCCCTGGCTTGAACAGACAGGAAAGCCATCGTTCTTATACTTTTGGCTTCCCTCTTGTTTCCTCAATCAAACCTGGCCGCTAGCGGTCGACCTGTCAAACTCAAGGGCATCTATCGTGATTGAGTATATTACCAGTGGAGATAAGGGCAATTCACATTCTTCGGGGATCTGTTCATGATGATGTCGTCTTTGAATCCTAAAACGAGGATGAATAGGTATCGACCCGTGTCCTTGAGGATACCTGCTTCCGTCAGCTGCAGACGCCAACCGTCGACTACTCGAGGTAAAGGGCATTCATGGTGATCAAGTGACTACCGGTGTAAAAGCGAAGAATTAATCTATATCAATCTGTTGGTGATGATGCCATCTTTCAACACGAAGAGGTACGAGTATCGACCCGTGTCCTAGAGGATACATGCCGCCGTCATCTTCTATGAAGGTCACGGAAAGCATCAGCGGGGGGATCAGGATCCAAAGTAGAAAAACTGGTCTACTCACCAGCTTCACAATCGCCGTCGTCAGAAACCAACCGCCGCATCGTACAGTTTTGGAGGCGGCGTGTGACCGGCTGCTCGCGGTCCAGCACCAGCATCCTCACCAACGGCACGTGCCAACACCAACGCCAACAGCACCAACAACTTTCCTTGACAGACCTCGCTCAGATCTCACGAGAGGTCGCCCTACTGGATCAACCCTTTCACAGCCAACACCACCAACACTGCCTACCTCGCCCACAGAGTCAGCATCCCATTACCTAGGTAGTAGGTACGTATCTCACCGAATCCCCCAACCGCCTCTAATGACCGACTCTTCTTCGAGAACCTCTACCCTTTGCCGCCCGAATCCTTTCTTAGTGCAACAACACAAGTATTCGACGTCACGAAGTAAGCCCCCGCCAGGCACGTCCTCAAAATCCATGACATTACACCTGTGAAACAACTTGTTGGAACTACCGGAGAGCCTCCAAGGAAAGCCTTAGCTACCTCTACATGTGAGTGACTGAGAAAAAAAAACTAGATCTCTTCGTCCCTTCCATCACTTCTGCTTCCGGGCCGCCCTCTTTTTCTCCCTCTCCTCTTTCTCCTTCCTCCTTTCCCCTCTTATCTTTCTTTTCCCTACCTTCCTCTCCGCCTCCATCCTCACATATATCTCTCTTCTCTTCTGATCCCCCCTCATCTGTAGGTCCTTCAGTAGCTCCCTCTTCCCCGCCAGATCCCCCAATATCTTTCCATCTTCTAGCTTCCTTATGGCCTCCTCCCTGCTGCTTTTATGCTCCGGTTCATTCAACATCTCATGAAACAACCTGTGCGGAGGCCACTTGCCCTTCAGCCAACCAGGGTAGCGCCATTCGTCGATCACTTTCTTTTTGTTCTTTGTGATCTTGTGCCCCTGACTTCTGTGCTTGTACTCATCTATTCCCGAGTAGGATGGCTCCTTAGGTGTCCTGAACACCTTTTTCTCATCGAATATCTTTTTGAATATTTGCCGAGTATCTTCCTCTTTCCCCACACCACGCTTCTGGCTGTCCGCATCCACGATGCGGCGAAAGACGAGATCGGAAAGCTCCAGCCACTCCCTAACCCACTCGAGTGGCTCTAGTCTGTTTTCAAAAAGGCACTGGAGTGTGTCGTCGTCTGCATTCCGTAGGGCTTCCGCGGCGGCCACCATGTTGTAGACCGCAACGTGGTTTCGAAGCCGTGCCTTGCACTTTCGCAGGGAAATCATGCGACGTCCCTCTTTACCCTTTGTGGGAATAGAAAACACCGTCTCGTGCCAATGAGGTGACGTTCCTAGCAGCTTGCCAACCTCGGCCTGAAGATATTCGATATCGTCGGAACCGAGCTTGAGTATCCACAAGACTTGAAACCAGATATCATCTATGGCAGCTTTCTCGCCCGGAGACTTCACCACGGAATTTCCCTCATCGTCGGATTCGTTTGAAGATTCCTCACGGTCATCTGGGGAGGTGTTCGCTGGGTCGGTGTTTGACACCGATGAGTTGGTCGACTTAGAGGAGGCGGATGATGACGACATCGTGAGAGGTTTGTACTAAAGTGAGCGGGATAGCCTGGATGTGAGATGAATGTTGATGTGTGTAATGCCAATGAGAAAGTGAAATTTGACCAAGTCTTCAAAGCTGGCTGAATGTGTTGCTGGTTGTCAGCTCTAGTGGGCAATAAACCTCGAGTCGACTCGAGACTGCGAGTGCCTTTATAGCCCAGTGATGCCTTCTCCGGCCTCATTGCTGACGACCCCAACCAGCCAAAGGGCTTCAGAGCTTCTCTGTACATGGAGGGAATCAAAGACCTCAATCGCCAACCGACTGGTTTTCTGATCCTCGGTTTGATACGTGCCATCGCGCGCGTCTGTCGACCCGTGACCCCATTCTCGGGCGTCTCTACACAAAAAGGACGACCAACATCCAAAGGGTACGAAACGTCGAAAGGTCATGTAAAAGTGCGATGAAATCGTGATCGTAAAGGGAGCATCGGCGGAAGTATCTCATTGTTGTTGAAGCGCTGTCCAGCCGGCGTCTGCCGCCCATCACCAACACTCGCCTCAGCGCCAACATCCCGTCCCAACGCCGAGACCAACACCAACACCAACAGCGCCAGACCCGGGCGACCACTTCCTTTGTAGCCAAACATCCAGTACCTCAGTCCTTCCCCCCTTCACACCCCTCAAAGCCATTCCCCAAACCACCTAACCGCCTGCAAAAACGCGCTCTCCTTCGCAAACCTCTGTGCCCTATCACTCAAATCCGCGCTGACCGCAAACCCATGTCCCGTACCTGAGTATAAACTAACCATGTACTCCCTCCCCGTCTGCCTCAACAGCGCCTCAATCTCCGCTCTCCTCTCCGGCGGCATCAACTCATCATTCTCCGCGGCCGCCACGCTCACAGGCCCTTGGATACCCAGTATCTCCTGATTCTCCAGCAGACTGGGATGAGCAGTGAATGCTGCGTCTACCCTCCCTTCTGGTGGTCTAGTATCGTCGAGGAAGCGGAAGGCGTAGCGGCCGCCGTAACAGTACCCCGCTGCTCCGATGCGGGTTACGTTCAAACAAGAACGAAGAGAAGAGATGGTGGAAGCGATGATAGGATCCGTGACGTTGGGCTGGTGTTGAGAGAGGAATAAGGTCGTGTTGAAGCCGGGCACGTTGATGTCGCCCGGAGCAGGAGAGCTGGAGAAGAGGTCCGGTGCGACGGTGAGGTAGCCGGCGCGGGCGAAGGAGTCGACGAGAAGAAGGTTTTGGGGGAGGGCGAGGCCGAAGACGTCGGTTAGGTAGAGGATTGCGGTGTTTGGGTGGACGGTGGCGGAGGAGTCGGAGGGTGGGCGCGAGATGTAGAGGGTTACTGGAGGGGCGGAGGGGGTGGTTAGCGATGCGCGTTGTTAGGACGGCGAGGGGAGAGAGCGCAGGGAGGGGTGATTCTGGAGCTTACTGTTATTGTGAACCTCGGTTGTGCCGAACTTCCTTCCTCGGTGCGTGCGTGCTAGAGTGGAGGTGGCAGTGCGGACTCGTCGGCAGGCAACAATCAAGTTTGCAAATGAGCATGAAAGCAAGAATGGAAGGCACAAGGCGCATTGAGGGACACGAGCCACTTATAGGGAGTGGCGGAGTGCCTGCCGTCTTGACTTGTAATGTAAAGTCCATCCGAAATCCGAATGACGGCATTCGCTACCAAGTTACCCCCATGCTCGGCTTGTCACGGTTGCATTCCTCGGTCCCCAATATCCGACGATCAAATCCCGTCCCCCGCCTCTTGTGTCTCTTCAAGATCTGAATCAGGAACCATCGGAGATTCCTCGGTCCACCGTCTGTGCCGTCCGAGCTGTTTCACTTTACGGCATTACCTTCATCCTGCCACACTTCCTTGGATAACAAGCCGACAAGGTACTGTACCGCAAAGACTCGAGTTATCCAGAATTCTTAATTGGGGGGGACTCCCTTTTTTTGGCTACATACTGATACTTCAAGCAACGTCAACGCAACAGACTGTACGGTTTTCTTGGAAATCCCCAACTCTGAGCAGAGGCAGGCACGCTGCTCTTCCCGGCTCTTGAGTGCTTAAAGTCAACAAATTTGTACCTGAAAAAGGAAGCCTCCTCAAATCCTGGATTCTTGATATGTGCCACTGTCGTGATGTTTGGTCCCTGTTTCTCATCCGCTGCTGACAAAAGCCAAAACAACAACTGATGCAGCACACGTCCTGCCGCTGTACAATCCACATCGATACTCAATCAGGGATGTGCCTGTCACAGCCATTGACTTGGTGCCATCTTCAAAATCTTTGACCGTCTGGTGCAAAGTTATGTCTGAATTCCTGTTGTTAGTCTCAACAGCAGCATTTCTCGTTCTTGGAATGGGCACATACTAGTCACTCCTGTCCCTCCGTTCGGCCAATCATACCCAAAAGAAGTATCGTTACAGGTTCCGGGCGGCGGGTTGTACCCAAAAATCCTTGGGTCATAGAACCAGTTGCACTCGGATGTGATGGTTGGCATGATCCCCGTCTTGTTGCTGTATGCAAACTCAGCAAGCATGTCCTGCCAGCGGAAGCCAGAGACAGCGAAGCCACCGCTGACTGACAGGTTCCAGGTCCCATATGGAGTTGAGATCTTGGAGATGCTGTTGCATGAGGAGAGGAGAGGAAAAGTGAGAAACAGGAGGATGTGCATTTTGCTGAGAATGGTGAGTGGTTGGATTAGGTTGTTAGGCGCACTTGTGTTGAAGTCCCTCGGCTAGGGGAGATGAGGCATAGACAACTCGCATAACAGGATGCGAGAGAGAGACAGAGAGGAAACAGGTTCTTCATGGCGGTATGCGCACCCCCTTTTATCCTCAACGCTCTTCCATTCTTCCTTGGTCAGCCACTCAGCCATTCAGGCCGAAGCCGAATACAGCATTATATTATTCATACGGTAAATTACATACCGTTACATACAGGCCCATAAGTTACCTGTAGGTTCGTCGCCAAACGCGCCCAGGTGCTTGTACGTGCGACATCCAGAAGTTGCATCCACACCAAGTTTCCATTTCAGAGGATCGACTTTACCTCTTTGACCAATCAAGCCACCCAACAACCATTTTTACAATAATTGCTTCCCCTTTGTCTCATACGGCAACAGCCGGAAGAAAGTGAGGACCCGGCAGTCCGGACTTCGGACCATTGCCGGGTTGACATCTTCCATGACCAAACCGCCGGGTTTTCCGGGCTAGAGGAACCGAGATCCGGCAGTCGGCCGCAGTGGAAGGTATTGCCCTGATGTGCATGCAACTAGAGGTATGCAAGACACCATTGATACCTGCCAAACCGACATGAAGCAAGGCCAGAGGGAAGGCGCTTGGTCCAGGCCGTAGTGATGTCGCTCCTGCCTCTTTTGCCCCTCCAGCTGTCATCTTGTGGGGAGAAAAAGTTGGCACTAACGGCAGGCACCTGCACCTAGAGGACCTTTCAGGTTTTGACAGTTTGACGACGGCAGTCACCACTGCCATATCACGGGACACGACCTGGACCGCGGCTGGGGCTGCCATTGTTTCCCTTTAAACCTTTGCTCATCCCCTCCACCCATTTCATTCACTTGTCGGCTGCTTGGCACTTATTAGCCTTTATTTGCTCCGTTCCCCTTTTGGCTGATCTTTTTGTCTGCACAACATCTGCAAACTACTCGTCCATCTCTTGCAAGCGATCGAAATCCTCACTCTTTTTCCACCGATTACGGCAGCGCAGTATTATCATCAGCAACGTATCAGCATATTATCAGCGTTACATTCTCACCCTCCTTTGACGCCCCTAACAACGACATGACTGGGAATAACCACGATCCTCCCCCAAATGGGCATGGCAGTTATGACAATCAAGACCATCCCTCCTCAAATGGACATGTCAGTTATGCCCAGCCAGACAGGCTACGAAACGGTTTGAACGAGCTCGACATCTCGAGTGGCTTTCAGGTTACCCTCAATGAGTATAACTCTATGCACGCCAGGATGAACAACGGTCTGAACCTCCTTATGAATGTGTACCGCGACACGAACAACAAACTCCATGAGCTTGAAGACAAAAATATGGAGCTGTTGTCGAAAATCCAGGAGTACAGAGACTACACTGCGGAACTCGAACATTATATTCGCGGCCTGGAAGTAAAGAACAGGGTTCTCAATGACGTAGGCTCTTGTCCTCATCCTTTCCATATACAATTCTCCTAAGCTAACACAACTTGCACAATGCAGACCTCCAACGCATTTGCTTGCCTAATAATTGATGGCGACGGTGCGTTGTTCAAGGAAGAGTACCTGGCCCAAGGCGAGGAGGGTGGCCGCGAGGCTGCCCATAAGCTCCATTCCGCCATCAAGACATACCTGGAGTCGGCCAATATGGAGGACCATATAAAAACTATTGTGGCCAAGGTATACTTGAACGTCGAAGGCCTCACCAAAGCCTTGATGGAGTCCGGCATCATACATGAAGAAGACAAACTCACAAAGTTTGGTCGCGGGTTTTGCCAAGCTCAGCCCTTCTTTGAGTTTATCGATGTTGGCCGCGGCAAGGAAAAAGCAGACCTCAAGGCCACTAAGCACTTTCACCTCATGCTGCACCTGAAGGAATGCAAGCGTGTGATGCTTGCTGGGTGCCATGACAATGGCTATGCCACGTATCTTGAGGAGTACAGATGGGCATGTGACAAGATCACCCTCGTGGAGACGACCCCCGCCGCAAACGGTGTCGCAAAACTGAAACAACATTTCGACTTCAGGAAATTTCCAGACGTTTTCCGCTCCGAGCCTCTCTTCGTCAAAAAGCGCAGCCAACAGCACTACCCCTTCCTCACCCCCTACGGCAACATCGAGGCACCTCTTAGCCCTCCGTCAACCTATGCAACAAAGGCTCAGGAGCCAGCTATCGGCAAAAAGAACCATCCGGCAACTCCTTCTGATGCTCAAACGTCGAGAGGCGCTTCTCCCTCAGCCGCTCTTACGAAGACGCCCAGCCCGACTCAAGCTGCCGCTACCCCAGCACCCAGCTTAGATGGCCCCCAGAAAAAGAACCACCAACCAGCAGATGACGAAGGCTGGCAACCAGTCAGCTACGCCAAAGCTGCAGGCTATACCAAAGTCGGCCGCATGACCAGCAGCAACGACCCCGTGATCGGCAACTTTCGCAACCCACAACCCAAGACCGAGAAGTTGTATTTCTACCTCAACGAAGCCCAGCAGCGTCTCGACCATCCCTTGGCCAGACCTCCCGACACCCAAACACGCCAAGATATGGAGGAGAGGACAAAGAAGAATGGCGCCAACTATTGCAATGGCCACCACCTGATCAAGCGATGCAAGCACTTGGCCGAGAACAATCACGGCGATTGTGATTACATCCATGGCGCGCCGCTGAGCGAAAAAGATAGAAAGTTTCTCTGGTACAAAGCACGGAGTGTGATTTGCAGGAACGGAAGTGATTGCAGGGAGGATTATTGCCTTGCCGGACATCACTGTGCCTGGGGGAAGGACTGTAGGATAGGAAAAGAGTGTCGGTTTAAGAAGACGCATGGTGTGGATCTTGTGAGTACTCTGCTTCCCTTCCCAGAAATCGAAGACACGGGTTATTGACCAGGTATAACTCCAGGAACCGTTCTATATCGTTCACGAGGGGGATCCCTGCCCGAAGCGGCTCATTAGAAGGGGCTAGTCCTCCGCTTCTGGCGCATAGGCATGTGGGAAGATCCCGTCAGGGAGAGGAAGGCGACCCGAACTGGGAAGTCATGACGGCCTTGAGTTGAACCACATCGACAACAGCGGTTGGAGGACAGCCAATGCATAGGCCAACAAGACTCTCGAGGCAGATGAGACACACTGGACCAGTGTCGGTTGAAGGAACAGCGGACGGCGTGAATGTTGCGTTGGCATTTTAATCCAGGTACACGATTCACTTTGCAGGAGATACACGGAGCGCATTTGGCCTGTTGCATTGAGGGATGGGATACAAAGGGTCCAAATCGGTAGCGAACATGGAAGGATCTCGCAAGTAATCGAGCAGCAAATCTTGTGGACCAGGTACCGAGCAACAAAGATAGCATATGGCCTAAAAGACATGTTTTATAGTCAAAATACAGATAGACTACAGCATGAAACAAGAAAGATCAAAACTCCAGCTCCTTTGACTCGTTTTGAGATAGGATGTGTCCCTTTGTGACTCCATCACTTAGGAGTTGGGTTTCCTTGCTCGGCTTTTACTCTTTTGTTCTTGTCATCTTCCCTCACTGTGAGAATAAGGCAGGAGTGATTTGATACATGGTCTCTAGTTCGAGGGGCAGCTTGGTCCTGGAAGAGGTGCGTGCATGCAGGTCCAATGTGGTCGATGTGTTCATTACAGCCTAGCGTGTTTATTACAACCTCGGTATCACCAAAAACACGCGAGACCTATCCCGACACTTTTTACAGAAACGCAACACAATCCATAAGCTCATCATTCCAGTGATACACCGACCCAACGCTCAGGCAAACAACCCCCCTAGCATAACCCCCCACCCCACCACCCCCGTAACTACCATCTTCATTGACATCTTTCCCCTCCATGCCGCCGCGCTCCCCTCCGCATCCTTAACCTGCCAGATAGTAATGAAATCCTCCGTAATATTCCCCTCCCTCTTCACACAACTCTCCATCAGACTCGCGGCTACTGATCCCGGATTTCTTTTTTTTGCGTCGTTTCCGTTCCTGTCATCAGTCCCATTCTCATAGAGGAACTCATCGGGGATCAAACACCATAGTTCGCACTTTTCAGGTCCGCCTACGTAGACGCCTTCATTTTCGGTGTTTATGTTGTGGTTCTCGGTATTGCTGCCGCCACAGCAGGCCGTCATGCCTACTAGCGACTCATTCCAATTGGGCACGGCAAAGATGCTCGCGTCGCGCAGGAGGGTCTTGTTCTGGGGCTCGTCGCCCACGATTTGGGGGAGGGCGTAGATGCCAAGGTGGTCGCAGGTTGTGGCGGGGGTTATGGGGGTTGTGGTTGTGGGGGAGGCACGGGTGGCCAGGAGGGCTGGTGGTGGTGATGGGGCCATGGTTGAAAAATGGAAGGTTTGTGGTCTGTGATGACTTCCCGCTACTAGAAGGGACAGTTGAGAATGGAAGATGGGTGGTTGATGAACCGATGGGGACTGGAGTACAGGTCGGTATATCGCTGGTCGAGATATCTTCAGTACAGGAAAAGCTCTTGCGGCAATGCTTGCTTGGTATAGATCTGATGCAAGTAAAGAAATGAAGAGAATCGTGTTGATGGGGAGCGGAACTGAAGGAGCAGAGATTCGTGCGGGGCCAAACCTCTTCATATAAAGTATCTTCCTGATGTTTGTCGGTTAACAGGCAGGCTCAGCCTTGATAGGTTTCCAAACTGTCGGGTGTTGCCCTTCGCAATTCCGCCCAGCGCTGGAAACAAATCAAATACAAATAAATATAGAACTGTATTTATTTGAGTGGGTCAAATATTCTTTTATATTTATTTGCATTTGATTTATTTGTATTTATTTGACGATTTGCCAAGACAGGTGGAGCCAACGGCCAACCCTAACCCTGATCCCGACCCCCCTTCCCAAGTTCGGTCCGCGGGCAAAATAAACACTTTTTCTCACCAAAAAAGTTCTGCCCGTGTGTCAAGAAGGCGGTCAAATACACCAAATCAAATATCGATCTATATTTTTTTAGGCACATCAAATATGCATCTGTATTTATTTATTTGTATTTGGTCATTTTCTTGTATTTGGCTTGGCGATTTGATCTGTTTCCAGCGCTGATTCCGCCCAATTGGACCCAGCGGTTGTCATGAGAAAGTCGGATCCTCTACATTATTGGGTGCGGCAACGAGCGGTTGCATTGGCGGGGGGCGACCGAGCCTTCATGACATTGGCGCTTGCCAACACTGCCTTCCACGATGTCACGTCTTGGAATACTTGGATGCTTGGCGCACAACAGTTGCAACACTTGTCTCCCCAACCTCGTTGGGAAAGAAGGGCTCGTGACAACTGTGCCGGCAAAGGAAGTAACATCCACCGGCATAGGGTCCGCTCTTGATCGAGAGTCACCCATGTTTCACCTACCAACAGAGTCCAAAACAACGAAAGGATTGTGCCCGTTTAGCGCGGATGTGGAGCAGTGAGCCTCGTGACCTCGTGTCCTTTAGTCGCCTTCCTCTTCCATCATCGATACATGTCTGGGCGTTTCACTCCGCCTTCTTCACACCGACCGGCTCCAGTCCATGCCAGCGTGGCATGACTTTTATAGCCGAGTCGTGCTAGCATCGTGAGGCCCCAAAGATATCCCAAGTTTTGTAGGCTCGCCATCGTTTGAACTATTCCCTCATTAGCGTTGACGTTGATACAAAAAGCACAGCGTTTAAGAAGAAAGCCAAAGGTAGTAGGTACGGAAATTCCCAACATGTCGAATTACGCAACCGTTCATACATACCATGGCAAAACTGACAGTCACATCGCAGATCCCATACGCTACAGGCTCCGAAAATGTCACCACCCACAACAGCCCTAGCCATAGCGGCCCGAGCCGCCACCAGCACGGCTACCGCTCTCACCCCCGCCTCCACATGCGACCGCGAAGCCATGGTCGACCTCTCCCAAATGGAAGGTCTTCCCCAAAAGCGGGCATGACAGCCTGCTGCGGCTTGAAACCCGACAACGCGGTGCACATGGCCGGTCCCGACGGGTGCGCGTTGTGGTGTCTGATTCCGGACGAGTTCCTTTTTGAGCAGACCAAAAATGAGGATGGTACGACGAAGAATGGGAAGAGGAGGGATGGGACGGTGGCTGCGTCTGCGATGGAGCAGTGCGTCGAGGACAAGGGCAACGTGACGGGGCCGTACATTACGATTTGGCAGGTTAAGGAGGGGGCGGCGGCGGCGGCGGCGACAGCGTGGTCGGGGAAGATGTCGCTGAAGACGGTGGTGGGGACGGTGGCTTGGGGGCTGGTGGTTGTTGGGTTGCTTGCTTGAGGTTGAGTTCTGTTACGGTATTTGCATGTATTCGGAATTTCTCAGGACCGAGGCCTGTCTGTCAGTCGGTTTGGTTGAGTGTTTTTAAGAGAATACCTACCCTTTTTTTTTTTTAACACTGGCTTCCTTCCCTTCGTAGCCTTGGGCTCCTTCCTGTTGGCCATCGTCGAGCTGGTCTCCTTCTACTTACAGGTGCGCGCCTTCTATGTATCCGTATCGCTACCTTCCCTATAGCGGGACATGTGGGGTATTCACCCCGCAGGGTATGTGTCCGTCGGTCCCGATATTGGCCTTGTTGTGCAAAACTTGAGGGAGGGAAGGAACTTTGATGACATTTTATTTCCAAGTCTGTTGTCTTGATGGTGTTTTCCCAATTTTTTGTCAGGCCTGTACCCTGCTGTGTTATGGCGGCGTGTTAACACATGATCACTAAAACTTTGACACAACCACCAAGTTGTCGACAATGTTAGGAACCTTGAGACACTAGTCTGCTAGAAAGCAATGGCAAGAAAAAAGACAATGGAGCTGAAGACATGCGAAGGGCTTGGCCTCGTAACCTTAGTTAGATCTTACCTCCCCAGTCCACTTGAAGATGTCTCAAAAGCTGTCTGCTCATACCTACCGAATCAGCCAAGCAGCAATTTCTCTCAGCGGGTGCACTAACACTTACACATCAAGCTTTGAAGTCCCGTTCCCACACTCAAGCGCCTTGTCAGTCTCGGCGCGCTAGTTGTATTGAGCTGGCCACAACACCGACTTTCCAACGGATTTTGACAGATTGACCAGATTTAACTGTTTTAATCAACGTACATCAACCGCATCGTATCGTAAATTATCGAAATCTGCACCAAAAAACCAACATTTCAATACTAGCATATTAGCTATCGTTTTATTTAGCGTTTTTATTATTTTTACTATTATTGTAGCCATACAATATAGTGAACTTTCCCAATTCGAACTAACGAACTATCATAAATTTAATATTCTATAACGACGAGCCCATTAAAAATATCGCTATAACCGTTAACGTTTGCGAACGTATAATATATTAATATAAACGTAATTTCAATATTATTAGTAAATTAGTACTACCCTCTCGAACGTCCCAAAATTCTAGGAAGCCCCCTATATAAGCTATAAAAGTATACTTGTAACTATGGCAACCGTTTGTAGTTATTATACTATAATTATAATTAATATTGTAAAGGAGGTTATAAAATTGTTAATATTAAAGCTATCCTTATACTTCAATGAGATTTGTATTTTCTTAGTTAACGAATACGATGTATATATATCGATTAAAACCGTACGGTACTATTTATACTAAGAGCGTTAGAAGAAAAGAAAATTAGCGTTTAAAGCAATATAGTAAGAGCCTAAGTTAGTAGTAAAGTAAATAATAAAAATATTATTATTTATTATAGAAATATTCGTCTTTTACGATAAAATTAATATAGATTAATATAATGGAGTTTATTATATTAGCTAAGCTCCCCGCGGTACTATTGTAATGATATCGAACCGCTTTAAGCGTGGTAAATAATATTATATTCTCTTAACTATATCGGTTAATAGCGTATTTAAAATACTAGTTTTTAAGAGATAAATCAATACCTTAAGGTTTATTAAATAATTGAAAGATCGCCTCCTGCCTATAATTAATCCCTTTCTTAGTTATAATAGTATTTTAATAATAAATAACACGAACTAGTATCTACGTAATGAATTTTATTATATATGTATAGGCGCGGGTATATTATTTTAATATTTACCGTTATATTTTTCAAAATTTAACCTAATCAAAACGTATTTTAATAATTTTAAGAAATATATAAAGCGGGTATATAACAACGAAGGTAACAATAGGATAACTAATAAAAATTTCCTTATTTTCTTCTATCGAATTACTAAAAGTATTAGGTATAGAATATAATAAATCTATAATTATTTTAAAAACGTTAAATTAATTCTAGAGACTATTAATAATATTAATAAAGATTATACGATTCTATACACTAATTAATTAAAAGAATATAAGAAAATTAGTAACGTTACTAAGTAAGGGTAAATAGGGAGGGTAATTAAATAGTATAGGGGGTAATATATAATTTTTATTATAATTTAATACTAGAAATGCTAAAAATACTAAAAATACTAGAAGTACTAAAAGTACTAGAAATACCAGAAGTACATTTATCTATATAATAATGAAAAAAGGGTATTAAAAGTACTAAAAATACTAGAAATACTAGAAATACCAAGTAGAGTACTAATATTTATCTATATAATAATAAAAAGAATATAGAAAGTGCTAAAAATATATAAATTCCCCCTTTATAATTAACATAATCTACTTCTTTTATTATAATTCGTTTCGTATACTATAATCGCTAGCAATAGTGTTGCCCGCTAAAAAGGTAAATACTCTTATAACACAAAATTCGAAGGTAGTAGTATCAGTCGGTCATACTATAAAGTTATACTACGAATTTAGTATATAATAATAATAATTAATTAAATTTATTAATTAGAGGGTAGAAAGTATACCGTAGAAGCTACCTACTTAGGCGATTACTAACTACTTTTATTTAAAGAAGGTTTTAATACGACTCTTTAACAAATTATAGAATTCTATTATAAAGCCTAATTTTATAAACTATTCGACTAACTAGTACCTAAACGCTATAATATCTATAATAGGGGTATTTAATCCTCTAAATACTTTTCGTAGTACAATTAAAAGTTGCAATACCTATACTACTACTATAATCTTCCTGAAATAATATTTCTAATAAAAGGTTTTAAAGAATTTAATAATAAATTCGCTTAGGGTATAATTACGTAGCGGGGGTAATAGTAAAAAGGAGGGAATTAGAGGGGATTTATTTTCGTTAGTAATAAAGGGCAGTATGATTAATAGAAGTATTAAAAGTACAATTAAACGTAAAATAGAGGGTACTTATATAAATATAATAAATAAAGGTAAAGGAGAGTTACATTTAGTAATTAACGTATTGTAATTAGTAGGGTAATTATAAAATACAATAATCTAGTAATAAAACGGCGCGTTTAAAACGGCGTTTAATAGGGTTATTATAATATCCAGTACCGGTATAATAATAATAGAAGTAGCTATAATAGAGGAAGGAGGAGGAGGCAGCGGGAGAATTGGGTAATAAAAGTTATTATATAAAGAGTAATATATTAATTAATATAGCGGGTATAAGTATAGTTGGTATAGGGGGTAATATAGTGCTAGTAGCCTCTCTTTCCTTCTTAATATTATTTGTAAAAGATTTTTAATAGATTCTATACTAGTATTATTATTACTATTATTAATGCTATTAATAATATTAATATATACTAGGAGCTTATTATTACTATATTTCCCGCTATTCGAATTAATACTAGCCACAGCGGTCTTTATTATAATTATGCTTTGAATAATTAAAGTAGGGGGATTTCGTATAGTAGTATTGATTTGAGAATTTTTTCTAGTTTTTTTAGTGTAGACCAAGGGGGTTATTAGAAGTAGAGTGATTCGGATAGGGAGGAGTAGATCTATCGGACCGTCTCTCCCGAATTTTGAAGGTATGTAGTTATATTAGAGATCTTTAGGGATAAAAAGGGTAGTATTCCTCTTTAAGACGAGAGGAAAGGGGGTAAGCAATTTAAATTAGATATTATTTCAATTAGTACAATATATTTAAGCTTCGTTCCCAAAAAGATTTAACCGTTGAATTTATTCGTAATCCCCTACTTAAGAAATTAATTTCTAAATTTATTCCTTTTTCTAGAATAATTAATTTAGGAGTAAAATTCTATTTCCCCCTCCTTCCTTTAGTAATTAATAATTATAAGTTAAAAGTTTTATTCTAATTTCTTCTCGAAATTATTCTTAACCCTTGAATTAGTATTTTATTTTAAGGTTTTGGATAAGTTATACTTTTCTATAGTAGTATATTTTTATTCTATTTTAAATAGTAATAAGGATGAAATAAGTTTTAAACTTTTAATTAAATTAGTTAATACGAATTTGAAAGGTTTCCGGCCGGGACTTCTTATAAATACGGAGGTTATCCCTATAGCCTTTGCGATACTAATTTAAACGCCGGAAGCCGAATAACGAATAATTAATTAATTCCTGTAGTAAAGAAATTTTGTATTCGACTTAATAGAGATTTTCATTCTAAATATATATAAATCTCTATTTCTTCAACTAATTTACGATTTACCGATATTAGTTAATAAGTTCCCTAGCCCCTTCCCCTCTTATAATTAGATTAGTAATAATTAAGATTATAAAACGAGATTAAGAAGAAATTAGATTAGAAAGATATTAATTAGAGATTTAGATAACAAATTAATAAAAAAGAAGTGCGAAAGCTGAAATAAAAACGAGGAGTAAATCCGTTCTTTACTTATTAAAACCTTTTAATAAATAATTATTTATATTTTTTACGCCGAATTCCTCCTCTAATTAATCCGACCCCTATTCGGAATAATTATTATAATATTCCGAATGTTATTTTTAATTATTATGGCGCTAAAAATATTCCTAACTGAAGCGAATTATATTAGTTAGGAAGTAATTGTCGGTAGGTTAAATAGGGGATTTTATTATTTTAGGTAATAATTAATAATAATATTCTAAATGCTACAAAAAAAAAGATTTTTAATTAAGGATTATAAAGACCGAATACTAATAATATAGAAGTATTTATATAAAGAAAATTATTTTAACAAAAGATATTAATTTAATTCCCCTTTAATTATTTACTTTAATATTAGTATTTATTCTATATATTTATTATTTATAAATTTTATAATTATTCCCCCTTTTTATTACCTCTTTACCTCTAATAATACCTTCCTAGGAAATATATTTAATATTACTATTAATATTAAAGATTTATTTATTCCTACCGCTAAAATATTTATTAATGCTATTATGGCCTTCTTTGTTAATAATATTACCTTCGCGCGCAATATTATTTTAAAGAAGAAATTCGATAGTAAAAAGGTTTCTAAATATTTAAAATTCTTCGAAAATAAGGTTGGCTTTTATAATTTCGTTAATAAAGAGGTTAAAATTAATATTTGGTTTTAATAGTATAAGAAAGAGCCTAAGGATATTAATAAGGGTTTCCTCTGCTGCTTTAAG